AAAAGAAACTAAACATGAAACCAAACGGAGGGGGGTGGGACTGTTGAGTTGACACTTTTCAGCAAATTGTATCGTTTCTTTCTACAATATACATGTGATATTACCAACTTTACGAGGGAGTTTGTGCAACTATTATACGTTATATGTAATAGTACAATTAAAGAATAATAAAATTTCAGGAGTACAGGAATGCGCAAATCTTGCCTTCAGAAACTTGGGATAGAACCACCCGATTCCTGGGTATTGTTGAATGTATTCACGGAACCCTGCCAAATAAGTTCAAATTATCTCCAAGATAATGCAGTCTGCCTCCCTTTTTGTTATACTTTTATTGAAGAAGAATGAGACACAAATTGAAATGAATTTTTAAACTTTCTATTGACATGCGTTGGTGAAGGTGGCAGAAGAGAAGACAACGAAACTAATCAAGTACCCGGTATAACCACAAACACGCTGACTCTCTTTGCAATTCGAAATTATTGGCGTATGTAACCAAAGGGAAGAAAAATACGTAAAAATACCGAATTAATCAGTGATGTTCATTGACTTCTGACGCCTGGAAAACATTCTATTATGGGGCCCTAAGGACATGATGATCATGATCAGAGCAAAAAATGTTGTACAACATAGATGAAATATGAAGATAACGAACAATAATCAAGCTCAAAAGTCCATTAAAACATTACAATTTTTTTGGAGCAGAGCAAACACGGACCTCTAAAAACATCAGAAGTGGGATCATGTGCCATGGAGGAGTAAGCAATCCCTTTCGACTGGTCACATCCGCCGTGTGCACCTTGTCATAATCGGATAAACGGAAAAAATCCGTAGACAATTCATTGAGAAAATAATGGATTAACAATTTGTGTGAAAAACATCAGTCAACATTCGGCTTGATGATAGATTGTATTTGTTGACAAGGTCATTGTGTCGACTATAGAATTTGCGAAATGTTGCCTTTAAGCGGGACTATTGATATCCTTGTTTCAACAACTTATTTTTCAAACACTTGCCTCGTTTCAGAAATTGTTCGTACATAGAGCATACTCTTGAGTATCGAATCATCTGGGAGACATTAACTCCATATGCAGGTGATAATGGTATATTGCTACTTGAAATATCGAGACAATGAACAGTATTCAAGCTCAAATGTCTATTTAAACAATACAAATCAGGAACAGAGCAAACGCAGACCTCTAAAACATCAGAGGTGGGATCCGGTGCCATGGATGAGTGAGCATCCCCTGTCGACTGGCCAAAACCGCCGTGTGTTACGATCGGAAAAACGGAAAAATCCGTAGACAATAAATAAGGGAAGTTAACGGTAGAAAAGTTGAAGACATCATGTTTATCATATATTTTGTTGTTAGGTTACCATTAACGTCTTTTTCTAGTGAAATATCCAAATAAGAAACAAATGTATCAGACTCTATAGTCTTTTATTTCGAGTTCAAAGGGATATATCGCATCAACGTAGGAATGAAAATAAATGTTGTAAATAGATAAAACTTCGAAATATCCAAATGTTGAAGAACACAGCAAGAGACTTTTCTTTTCATGGAGAACTTTTTGAATAAATTCTGCTTCATATGAATACAAAAAAGTTTTGCTAATTAGTAACGGGGTGCAATTAGTACTCATGGGAATTCCGACATATTGTTGGAAAACTTGATCTCAAAAAAACTATATACAAAGATATTGTCAATCAGAAACTCAAGCATCTATATAATATCAACTTTAGTCCTCGGGTGAACAATCGGAATGTTTTTAACAAAATAATTTTGCAAATGACCAATGACAAGGTAAGTAAATTTCTGAATTCCATTTTTATTGAAAAAGCAGCTGTCTATGATGTCAATGAACCTGGATTTTAATTCATCGTGGGGAATGGTTGTATAAAGTGTTGAAAAGTCGAACGTTTTGATTTTATTGATTTTGGTAAAATTTTGTGATTTCAAATTTTCTAAGAGTTTTTGAGTATCCACATCTGATTTACACCACTTCTCGAATATGTTATTGTACAGTACTCCTGAAGTTTCTCCTTCACTGCTGTTAATATTTTACTAACGAGTAAAGAAAGTGTAGTGGACTCAAGAGACGGTTTGGTTGCAACAGTCATTAAAAGGTACATTTAGCAATGGTTGTACTAATCGCCTTTTCATCAGATACAACTCAAGCATGGCAAGGACTCGCGTATTCTTCTGGATCGACAATTCTGTCACATGTCTGTTATGTACATATGGTGCTAAAAGTGACAAAATACCATATCAAACTACAATATAAAGCAATAATTCAAAGATTGACTCTCTTCCTTGGCAAGATCTTTTGTTTGTCAGTCTGATTTCTACGCTATATATTTGGCAATCGAACTTCATTGGATGAATTTATTTAGATTCAGCTTGTCGCCTTTAGCTGAACTGACTGTTTCGCTCACTATAAATTTACAAGAAGGAAGAAAAATTAAATTCAACCCCACTGTAAAAAGAGGTGTGACGCAGAAAAGGTCAATAGAACAAACAAGCAATGACTCCGCTCTTATTAATACAGTTCCTGAAAATAGACGGGAAAGAACTGTATTTCTCTCCTGTTTACTAGGGTCAGCTTGTCGTTAGAATTTCTTAGGTGTGACTAAGTAATGAATGCAATAAGCAGTTTTAGTTATGTTTGATAATGATTAACACATAACATAACAGAGTTTCAAAAAGATTTAATGGGTAGGGACACATTTACTGTGTTAATTATATGATATTGTTTGTGATCATTTTCAGTGAATGAAGTGCTGAATTTATAATCTGGGAGATGACAAAATATTATTTCATTGATATATGATTATCTTATGCCATAATGAGTATCTAAAGAGCCTTATTCTACACTCAATCATAAAGTATCATTATCTAAACATGTGCATCAGAGACATAAATAAAATTTTATTTATGTCCCTGTATGCATTTAAATCAACGCCCTTGAAAAAGGGGTTTCTGGAATTATGACAATAAGTACAGTTGCATTAATGATGTTTGCAATTAACATATTTTTTAAGTAACCCCCTACTTGTATATTTTAATAAACCATTTATCAAAAATTAGAATAACCATGAATAATTGAAAATTGTACAAGTTAAACAGTACTTTTTAATGCCTCATACAGATCGCACATTCTCGATAAGGAAGTTGAAGACAAAGGGACAACTCATGCAAAGTTAATTTTTACATTCAAAATTAACATAATTTTATATTTCTATCTTAAGAAATTTTTCAAAATGTAACATATATTCCAGTCAGCAAAACACCGAAGTAAGGTCGAATTCAAAGAAAACTAAATTTTCTTAAATTTTCCTCAGGTTTACGTCCATATAATGTCATACAAAGTGATACTACCGATGCAACTATGGAAGAAAGGTAAATGCCAAAACATAAGAAATAAAATGATAAATTGTAAGATACAGACAGGAGAGATGTAATGGTATCTGGATTTTCTCTTGATATGAAAGGCTCGGTGGCTGTAGTCCTCAAATATTCTCTGTATTGGTCTTTAACCGATTTTAAGTACTGGTAACCTAATTAGTCAGACTTGGGCTGATCCTCAGCCATGGGGGAAAGAGGGGTATCAATATGGATGCTAATCGTCATTAAGCATGTTAAGATAAAGATCTGAAAATAATTCTTCACGGAAATTAATCATCCGCTGATCCCAAGTGGATAAAATTTAAATAACCTTCAACTAACACACAGCTTTCGTCATTCAATTTGTCCTAAATTTTACAAATATGTATGATTATAAAAAAAGAAATAAAAAAGAAATTTACATAATCGTTTTGGCCCACGAATATATTCAATCTAAATGATTAGAGCGCAAATACCAGTAACAAATTGTAGAGAGTGAATCAGAATTAATTTGCTTCATCATGTTTTGCTAGCGAATCTCACACAAAATCAAAAAGATATTTGTTTTACCCAAACAAGTACTATTACTGCAACTTTCGACAATTACTGAAAGTTGGATTTATGTTCATAAAAATAAGCTGAATAATGTTTGCCAAGGTAAATACATGTAGTACTTTTGTATGATTTTGTAATAATGTCATACAATGTCTGAAAAAAAAGTGTGTAAAGATAGTACAGAAAAATAACACACATTCTCAATTTTGAACTCCGAAGAATACTTCTGAAATAAAATGTAAAGATTAGTACAGAAAATGTTACAGCGTCTCAATTTTGAAGACTAAAGAATACTTACAATTTCTTTATATTTTAGGAATTCATTATTTTGTGTTATTTCTCTTCAATATCAGTCAAAAAATATATACCAATCCGTGCATCAAATTTCTGTTTGTGTTATTTATCCTTCAATGAAGTTGTAAACTTAGGACCTTTTGCAGTCCATCGTAGCCCAAGGAGCCATGAAATGAATATTTTGTCATGCACTATTATGCAAAATCATGATGCAGAAAAACAAATAACTTGAAAAACTTGTATGATTTTCAATTTAAAAAAAAATATTTCAAAGGACGACTTTGATAAACTATAAATACTGCACAAAAAAATTCAATAACAAATAATCAAGAGATAAAGTAAAGATACTGTAACAGTAACTTTTCGAACTGATTAATGTCGATATACAATTACTGTCACTCTTCAAAATCATGAATAGCACTAAATAAACATGTTTTGTGATGTTATATGACTAGCAATGATAAAGATCTTTAAGATATACATTTGAATGAGATCAAACTCACTGTAAAATTCTGCGCCTCATACACTTTTAAACATTTTTTTCTGTCTTCTTCTTCTTCTTTTTTTTTTTGGGGGGGGGGGGTATACATGTAATTTCTGTACCTTCCACACCTACAATCTCAGAGTCTACAGATGTATCACAAAGTACCGAGAGGAAGGATTGAATTCCTTCAAATTTCTTCTATATGGTTATGAAGACAAAGTCATAAGCTGTTATAAGGCTTTTTTTTAATTTTTTTTTTTAAATTTTTTTTTTAATTTGTTTATTCAGGTTGATGAACTGATTTCAATTTTCTCTTGGTTGGAAGCAGATGTTGCTTTGTTGTCAGTTTTAGTACTGGTACTATTGCACTGCTCTGGCGATTTTTCGGATCTCCCGTGCCTTTTTCTTATAAATCGGAACAGACACTCGAGATTTTCCCTACGGAAGAAAATGTAGACGAGGGGGTCTAAAACTAAATTAAAGGTGGCCATCCTGCTTGCATGGAGATCGGCGCTATTGTCTTTCATAGATCCACTTTCATTCACAATGGCTCGAATCTGGAAATAGAATAACTGACTTTTATGCTGCATTATTTTAGCCTCCATAGTTTATTAATAATATATCATAAAGCAAGCTTGAATTCTATCCAAATTGTTTTCTGTATTAGAATTGACTTTGTAAAGTTCTCATCTTATACACCACCTAAAATATTCGCTCTTAAGTTGAACATTTTATATATAACGAATTCTTGTGTAAATACTTTGAATGAAGTTAACAAACAGTGATGAGACGTGGTGAAAGTTATAGTTAAGTACCAGTTAGTAAGATCCCACACAATCCGAATTTCCTTACATTTTATTGCCTTTTAGAGTAAATCATTTTATTCAATTTCTTTCAAAACATATGCAGCGTGTACTGTATTCATTTATATCTTGAATCCTAATAGTTAATATTCGTGAAATCTTTAATTTGTTTTCCAATATGCTCGGGAAATGCATGCATGCAACACCCGCGTCAAAATAAGTAATTTTTATCCAACCTGAACTATATTTTTTTAATTACATCATATCGTAAAAAATATGTGATTTTCAAAACAAATTTGCATTGGAAAAAAAAATTAATTTCGATTACTTGATCATTCCCTATGGTTTATATAACTGACATTGAAGGATAAGAAGTCAAAAAGTTTAAATCAATTTGATTTACACCCGTGCAAATAAAAGTATTTCCGATTAATTTATGTTTTTAATTTACATTCTGTTAATTAATCATCGTAACAATTCTGAGAATCACTATCCAGGTGCAATTAATTTCAGTGGAGAATAAATAACGGCATGCATTTTCTAAACTTTTATTACCTATGATTTTTCAAAATTGTCAAATGTCAAACGTGCTTTTCCTAAATTGAATAGATATACTGCAATAATGCCTATTTTTGATTTAAAAATAACTTGAAGCCATTTATATTGAGGGGGTTGACAGAAGAAGTAACTTGCTTGTCTTTCATTTATTATTTCAGTGAATGAAAACCAAAACAACATGAACACGACTTCCTGCTCCCAGCCTCAGCAAGTGCAATTTTCACCTGAATAGAAAAAGATGGCTAGTAGACAGAGTTGGTTTACCTGAAGACATTCAAAAATGTTTTCTTTTATGTTTATGTATACGGATACAGATTCAATCATCTACCTTTGACAAAAAACTACTAAAACTTAAAAAAGAAAATGTTGAAGTCACGATCCTGTCAATAAAGAAATAAAACTCTGCAGTAATTTTTAAAAAAAATTGCTTTTTTTGGTTGTTTGTTTGTAGGGGAATTAATGTTGCAGCTGTTGTAGAAAAAAAATTCATTTAAATTTAAAGTTAAATAAATTAAAGTATTTTTTTTTCTGCAATACCTGCAATGTTAATACTCGTACTGACAAAGAAAGAAAGACTTTTTCTTGTTTATATTATCTGTATAAATAACCATATAAAGTAAAATTAAGTCCGTTAAATATTGTATTATTGATATGTATGTCATTGTATGTTTCATCGATGGAAAAGCTTGGTTAGTGGCATTTACTGAGTGATAAACAACCGTGGTTTTCATAGGCAATAAAGGAAATAATATTCATTGGATGTAGATATTTACTTTTTATACCTCTTTGTCATGGGAAAGAAGTTTCTATAATGACAATAACAGTTTAATGCACATATTTAATGCCTTCCAATGAAAATGTCCTTTTTTGTCATTTAGCTCATTTAAGAATTGCATAACATAATACGTTTTTTGCAAAATTTACGTGTTTCTGGGAAAACACTTACCGCCATAGGGATTCCGCACGTGGCTGTTACTATGACAATAATAATCAGGAGAATGATGGAATAAATTTCATTTCTGTTGGCTTTGTCATACTGTTTCTTCTTGTCCTGTGCTCTGATTCGCCTCAATACTAATTTGACTAAATTAAATATAATAGTAAAAAGAATGGTTAAAATCCAAAATACAGAGTACATGTATGCATATATCTTGTCTGCCAGATTTTGAGCTCTGAAATTGTAGAAGCACCAAGTACCCGGATACTGTAAAACATATTCACCAAATCCGATGATAGGAAGAAGGGAGATGAAAGCCACTGTGACCCAAACTGTTCCAAGCAAAATGTTCGTTCGCCTTTCTTTTGCTGTGGGATTATTATAGAAGAATGGGAACCAAACTCCAATGAACCTTTCTAGCGACATGGTGCCTACGATGGCAGCAGACGACAAGACGACAAAACTAATCATGTACCCGGTATAATTACAAAGCTGTTGACCCCCTTGCCATTCGACGTTGTTGGCATACGTAGCCAAAAGTACTGGGAAGCATGTGATACTACCAAATAAGTCTGTGATGTTCAATGACACCATTAGTCTGTAAAAAGCACTCCATCTGTGGGACTTTGAGGACCTGATGATCATGACAAGAGCAGAAATGTTGAACATCAAGGCCAAAATAAACATAACTATTATATTTCCAAGAAACCCTTTACTTTTAATTCCAGGATCTTCTGTAGTGGAATTAACAGACGTGTTGCTTGCAAGTGACATACTGTTACCTGCATTCATTGCTTGTACAACTAGCATCTATATAGTGTGCTTGGCGGATTTAGCATTGCGAGTGCTGGTACATGCACATCTGGTGCTCCAGATAAAAAGAAATGTGAAGTTTGAAGACATTAAATTACCATTGAATTATGAAAAGCATGTAGGTGTGAAAGAAATCGACACTTTTCCTTGACTCAATCTTTTCTTTCTTTGAGAACCTGATTTTTAATGCTTTCGCAATTTCAATCTTCTTTGGTTGAATTTAATGAAATGCCGTTTGTCGCCCTTATCTGAATTTAATGTTTTATTCAAGATCTACAAGAAGGAAGAAAAACTTCTATCCGATCTTGAAAGTATAGGTGTGACACAATACAGGCCAATAATTCGAAAAGCGATGACTCATCTCTTATAATACAGTTCCTGAAAATAAAAACAAAAAATATAAATGTTGATTTGTTACAACTGCCTTCCGTTCCTAATAAAGATTGATCAAAAGGATCAAGCTTTTTTTAATTCTTGATTTACCTTGAGTTACCTGTCTTCAATTACCGGGTACTTCAGTTATATATACGAGGGGTGATAAAAAAGTTCGCGAACTTTCTCTGTATTTAGAAACCCACAATTCAGATCAGAATGAAATTTGGCACACATATAGTCATACACATGTTCTATAAATAGCAGATGTTAAATATAATGTTTTGCTCCGTGTTTGTGACGTCACAATGTGAAAATGACGTCAGTATGTAGGTCACTTGTGATAAAAAACGGTTGACTCAGTCGAGCTCGAGCAATGAACGGCTGTAAAGTTTAACGTATATCTCGGAAATTCCTTTGCAGTAGAATATGATAATTTGTACGAGGTTTATGAAGACAAAAGACTTACCAGAAGTTCAATCATTAATTAGATTGAATGTTTTAGTGAAGGCAGGGAGATGGTTAAAAATGATGTTTGTTCTGTTGCCCAGGGAAAGCAAGCGGGTAAAAAGATGTGTCCTTAGTTGGGCAATTTGTTTTGAAAGATCGCCAAGTTACAGTAAGAAAAATAGTTGAATATCTGAGCAATAATATAATTATTAAATTCCTAAAATATCGTTTACATTAGACTTTAAACATATGAGATATGAAAAAAAGAAGGCGCCCATACTTTTTCCACATTGGATAAACGACGCTCCCGAGACAGAAGACTCGGGTTGTGATGGTCACCATGCTAATTCTGGGAAGGGATATCCTTATCCACCCATCCTATTGCCGAGATTTGACCATTTTTAACAGATGGTCTGTCCTTGTTATAAAAAATTACTTGCATGGTAAGAAATATAAGACTCGGAAAAATCTCTTAGCTTATGTGAACAGACCGCTACGAAGCATGTCACGTGACCGCCTGGATCACGTGATTCGCGCATGGGCAGAACAATGGCAAAATCGAAGAGGACTACTTGAAAAAATAATGAACACTGAAACCTCATTTTATTTCTTTTAAGGAAGTAATTCAATTAGTTCGCGAACTTTTTGATCACCCCTCGTATATAGCTAAATATTGAATCTGCTTTGCTCCTGGTTTCGTCTACTCACAAACTCAAACTTATGTCTTACAACTCTTGAACAATCTTTATATAAATTAAGGAGGTTGGATCCTGCCATCAAAAGTAATGAGAATTTTTTATCAAGTATATTTTCTGAATTTATACACATAGCTTAATTAAAAATCAAAACAAAAAATGGGGGTCAATGCGCTTCTTTTGGCGCTACAGAGCATTTAGTTTGACCTTTTTGCACTGTAAATACGTCTTACACATAAATCAATTTTTGAAGTTTTTCCTCCAATATTTTTTATTCAAGTAAATTATGGGAACAAACACTGACTTATGTCATCTTGAATAGACACCTAAAAATTTGTGACAACGAAAAAATTTTCAAATTACTCCGCATGTTCAATTATTTGACCTTTTTGCACTCAAAAAATTTCATTTTTCTGGCATTAAAAATTTAACAAGCAAAAATATCATTTGAAAGTAATGACATTTTACTGAATTTAAGAAGAAATGTTAAAAGTATCTTATATATTCAGAAAAGAAAATAAAAAGTGGGGGTCTGTGATGTTAATTTTTAGATATTACTAAAATAGTGCTAATTTTAAGCTTAAAATAGGGATATTTTTTTCTTGACTTTCAAAATATATTTGCTATATTTATTAAATATGATGATAAAATTCATGACAGTTTATTAAATATATAATTTAGGACCAGTATAAAACAGTTCACTTCACAAAATAACTCTGTGTGCAGACTGCATGGAGAAATAGGAATTCAAACTTAACATACTTTAAATACTTCGAAAGAGAAAAAATGATCATTTTCTTCTAAAAAACCTTCCGCCACAAAATATAGTTCCTCACTTAATGCTTTTGGTATGGAATTAAGTCATGGAGTTTTAACTGAATATAGTTTAATTGGCATTGTAGAATCCAAAATTACTGTAAGAATTCAAACTTTACGCAGAATTTTTGAAATATAGGGTAAGATATAAATCTGCTCAAAAGCTCAGGAGCGAACCTCGTTAAATCTTATTCACATTTAGGTCATGGAATACCCAAAATCCAAAGAAAGTGGGGTTTTATCATAGCGTTTTGTATTTCGTTGTTTTTAGATTTAAAATAAAGACTTTGTTATATGATAAACTCTCACACAAAATTCTATAGCCAATCAGAAGTTAGAAACTTACCGGTATTCACTATTCATCATTCACTAATCGAATAGCGAACCGTATTCTGTGGTGGATTCACTATTCAAATTTCTGTTTGTGTCCTGATAGGCCTAAATATTTTTTTTCAAGAAACTAGATTGACTCAATTTTTATACATTCAAAGACCACACTTACAATAAAAGACACAGGACCCTGGACCAATATAACTAGCCCGACCAAAATGGTGGCCGTGGATGTAATACTATCAAAAGGTAAATCTTGTACAAGGGACTGTATAACATCCAGAATCCCATATTTAGACCTTCATCTTTGGACACGAAAGGGGGGGGGGGGGCTGGGAGTGAAAACGCGAGGTTTTTTTCCAAAGGATCCTTCCTGTAAATATAAACAGTGCCCATTTCATCATCAATTTTATTCCTTTTAAACTAATTCTATTAAATATTCTGCAATCAGTTCCATACTTGGAATATTTCCAGATCGAGAGTAGGCAGTTAAAGAAAAAAAATCACCCAAACCAACTATAGCCTCAGTATCCAAACCTACGACCTTAATAACGGGACTCTGGAAAAATGACAATAATGAAGCTTAATTAAAATCAATAGAGTTAATGTTGTTTCCTACCTTTAAATATGCTGTGCCTATTTTCTGTGATTAAATACACTCGATCAGGAAGATGAAGACGAAGACATAACTCGGGAGGAAATGTGATAACAACATTCAAGTTCATTTCCTTGTTCCATCAAGAAGAAATGCTTTAGAATTAAACATAAATCAGATGTAGTGAAACACTGATGTAAGAAAAAGAATCCTTCCCGTTTTACATCTATACTTTGTAATATCCATTGAATATTTATTCATATGTGGACCTTTTTTCACGAAAAATCTTACTACTAAGACAAGTTTTTTTTTTCCATTCTCCAAGTATCTGAGATGTAGTAGGTCACAAAAAAATCTTACATTTTCAATATATGTATATTCTTTTTAGATTTTAATTAGATTTTATGAATAAAATATCTTTATTAAACCAAAATGTTCAGTTTTAAGTTTTTATCCTATAGCTAATTGTAAGATTTTTGTGATGAGAGCCACTGTATCCTACTAGAAATTATCTTGAATCAAAGGGGCATCTCCGGCGGATAAGAACTATCATGGAAAAAACGACTTGCCAAAAATTACATCGAAAACTGTAGACAGGAGAGTTTACATTGGTTTCTGAATGACTGGGTAGCGTGATTTACAAATATTCTCTGCATGGTTTTTCTCAAAAATATTCAAGGATTAAAATAGTCCAATCTGTCAGACGTTCATTTTATTTTGTATTAAAATACTTCATCCCAGAAATTGGTCACCATATGCGCCATACTCCATCTGTTCTCAAAGACTTTAACTGTGCTAGATACCATCAGAACTGATCATCAACCTACCAATATCTTAATTAATTGTGAGTTCTAATTAAATCCTCTAAAGATGTTCTCAACTTATTTGATAAAGAAGCTACATACGGGTTTTACAATCACCAATCTACTCAATCCTGGTGATTTACTTAAAAATAATGAAAATCAGAGTGGTGAATCGGAATTATTTTACTTTATCAGATTCTGATGGTGAACCTCACTCAAAATCTGCCACAAATTGTATCAGTGGAAAATATCTGTATTTATACCCATACAGATACCATTATTCATACTAGTAACTACTACAGATCAGCAATACTTACAGAAACATGCTGCCTTTTAATGTAATGATTTATTGTAAACAAACTGAATCACACAGTTTGAAACACCAGTAGAATGATCATTTCTAACCTATATAAATATATATCTCCATTTTTTTTAACATCAAACACAAACAATTTTCCTGGAATAAGGAACCCTAAATAATGAATAGAAAAGGGAGTGTGGTGGGGAAAGGAATAAACTCCTAAAAAAAGAAATTTATCAATTCCAAAAGGTTCTTGATTGCTTGATGGAGTACATCATAAAAGTGCATGAGAGTTTCAATCCATCATTTCACAAGACATTGAAAAAAACAAATAAACCCATAATCTTCCCACTAGATGGACAGCTTGTGTTCATTCATGCATATTTCAGAAGTTGGCTTAACAAATAAATACAGCAAATTCTAAATATTTCTTTTCTCCTATCAAACCCTTTTTCTGATAAAAACGAACAGAAATTTAAGAACAAAAGTGGGAGAAGCATACATTAATTTTTATAAGCATTTTTAATTTATGTTCAACATAAATGTACATGTACAGCTTGTGGTATTCATTAGATAAAAGCAATAGCCATTAGACAATACAATAAATAAAAACTTTCACATCTCTATAAATAATTTCATCCAATATAGTTTGCCTCTATATAATTTCATTGTTCATGTCCGAGCAAATCAGACACATTAATTAAAATGACACATTTGGCAGACCCTGTAATAAAATGCCAGTGAGAAAAGAGGTGTTGATTTTATTGGTGGATCTTAAATTATCTTAAATTATCTAATGCTTCTTAAAAAATGAATATTACATAAATACACAGCAAAGTGCATCTTGTGTTTACTCATTGTGTGATGACAAGCAAAATAAAAAGCATGTTACATCAGTTTGAACAAGTACAAATTGTTTGACATCCTCACAAATTCCTTCATTTTTATCTAATTAAAACTAAAACAACACATAAATTAATGTACGTCATCTAAAACTGGTACGTGCCCTTGTGCTATGTGACTTTGCTTAGTCCATAAGTGTCCATACAGACTATCAGGATTAGCTAAGAGTTCATAATGGCTGCCCTTCTCTGCAACCTTGCCATTACGTATCACTAAAATTTCATCAGCATCCACAATGGTAGAGAGTCTGTGTGCTATCACTAGGGTGGTTCTACCCTCTGTCACCCGCTTCAGAGTCGACAGAATCATCTAAAACACAAAAGGACAATTACATGACTGCATTCAAAATCTACACAGCACCGTTCATTCATATTTATTTCTATGTATTGTCCTATGTAAATGCAAGCTATATGTGTTGTTTTTTGTTGTGTTTTTGTGTGTGTAAATTATGTCTGTTGTACTGCATGCCATTGTAATTTTAACTATGTTAAATGTGTATATTGTCATTTGTGTATTTTATGTATAAGTCTTACTAATCTAGTTAGAATAATCTAACTGTGTCTCGGGACAAGCCCTCACCACTATCGTTAAACCGGGTCCGTAGGACAACATCATTTTAACGATAGAACATTCTATCTATTACTAATCATGTCGGTCAAAAGCTCTACAGTGCTTATGTTATTTGTTTGAAAATTTGATTCTGAAGCACATACTGTACAAGTAAACCAACTTTTATTTGCATGCAAGAAATATCAGCAAATTTTGATACCTATGCTATACTTGTGAATATTTCTCTGCTTCAACATTTACTTGTGTCAAATCTTTAGACAGTTGTCTTGTCCCCTTCATGGAAGCTACTCATATGCCAGTGAATGTAAAACTAATTCATTATTTTTGTGTTCATATGTTAAACATACCTGTTCTGTAATAGTATCTAGAGATGATGTTGCTTCATCATAAACTATAATCATGGGGTCCTTAACTAACATCCGGGCTATGGCAACTCGTTGTTGCTCTCCTCCTAAAATAAACATAGAAAATTTATCTCCCTTTTAAAGCAATCTAAATCATTATTGCTAGAAAACAACCCAAAAGTAAAAAAAAAAAAATCAATCAAATAGTTGAACTAAATTACTGACATGCAAGTCATACCAAATATAAATGGGCACAGCAATGACAATGGATGTTTTAGCAAAGAACAATTCTCAAGCAGTGTTAAGTAGACATAACCATACATAACTCTGCATACAGTACAGACAATGTAGTTTCCTTATTTACACCTCATGTTTGTGTGATTTCATCACAGTTTGGACAGGTAAATCAGGTAGCACTGATGTCATCTTCCCCAAAGAAAAAACCATTCACATTGTAGTAAAAAAAATTTTAAATGTACTTGTCACTTGGCTTTCAGTGATATTCAAATATAGTTTTCAGAATATAAAATTATACAATTTCTTCCCTAATTCTCATACTTCACAATAATAGTCAAACTAAAAAATGAATTATTTATTAGATATTACTGTACTACTGCTAGCAAAAAGAAGTCTGTTCCTTAGCCCTCTCTATCTGCCACTTCTTACAGTGTTCAAAAAATAAACATAGGTTTCTTGTAGATCAAATATTTAAATTTATGAGTATCTTTAACTTGGGTTTTAGTGATTTTCAAATATTGTTTCCAGAATATGACATTATTAGATATTTTTATCACTGATTCATACTTGATAATCTGTCACTGCTTACAGTTTTATAAGTGACATTTATATTGCCAAAGTATAGACAATTAGGATAGTGCAAATGAACAGCATCTGAGCTTTTGAACAATAATTCACATCACGGTGGTGTAAAACCTGGATTTCCTTTATTACACTGTTGCGTGGGAGGAGATAAAATTCTCACCTGAAAGTTTGTTTCCTCTTTCCCCTAACTTCATCTCCATATTGTAGAGAAGTTTGGGAGGAATTTGTGCCATGGTGGCTGCCTCCATAACTTGTTCCTGAGATTTGTTGTGGTCTCCATATTGTAAGTTATACATCAAGGTCTCGTTAAATAACATGCTACAGTCCTTGATAAAATATAATTCTTTTTGTAGTCAACTTTTTGTTTACATAAATACATTGTAGAAATATACATGTGAAATCAATTGTCATACATGTATTTTTCTCTTTACATCAAGTGCAATTAATATAACACAGGAATCTTCTCTAAGTGTTAAAAATTGTAATATTATGGATTTTAAGGTACAATTTACCTGTGGTACAACTCCAATAACTTGCCTAACACTATGTAGGTCAAGGTCCCTGATGTTCTGTCCATTAATGAGGATTCTACCTTCATCAGGGTCAAAAAACCTAAACAGCATCTTAACAATGGTGGACTTCCTGGAACAAAGTAAAAACAATTCTTTTTAAAAAAAAAATACACAAAAGAATATTTCTTTGAATACTTGTGCCCAGTACTGAGTGCTAGGGCTTCCTGATTATACTAAGATAACATTTTTGAAAAAAAAAAATTGCTAAAGTTGATATGGCCTGGTGGTGAAGTATTTACAATTCAAAGCTAGAAAACTGATCAGTTTGGGAGGGCACTGCAGAGGGATTTATGTTTAAAGGTGGGTTTAAAGGGATGTTATTGTGATAACAAACAAGAAAGAAAAAGATTCAGAAAATTTGAAAATATCATCACAAAAAAGAAAAATTGAAACAGCCACAATAATTATAAGATTTAATATCCCCGCCCCCTCCCCCCAAAAGAAATTCACTTTTTTGACATCAAAATCCATCAAAAATAGGTAAAAACCCTGATACATTGCATTACATGTAATTTAAAGTTTGTCCTTGTCAACACATATAATGGTTTAATATCACATAATACTGTTAAACATGAGCAGAGGAGAAAAAAAGAGTAGTTTTTCAATCAAAACGAGTAGGATACATTTCAAGTGACAGTCTTGGCTATACATATAACATCTGAATCAATACAAGACAGATTTCCACCTACCCTGATCCGCTGCCTCCAACAATGGCCACCTTCTTCCCTGGTTCAACAGAGAAAGACAGTCCATCAAGAATCTGCCTCTCTTCCGAGTGAGCGAAGCGAACATTGTCAAACTCGATAGAGGCAGAGTCAGGGGAAACAAACAGTGGTGGGGCATTTGGAAGACTCTGAAAAACAGCATATGAAAAATGATGGAAATTCAAGCAGATGATTTTTTAGGATAAAATCAAATAAAATTCCTGTATTCTGCACATTATTTGAAAAGAAATGGCTCAAAAAGTGGGGAAAAAGCAATCACCTAAGTCAGATATTCATGATTAAAATTTTCTTCTCAGTCAACATTTTTTATCATTAGAATAATTTTATAGGTGAAACATAATAATGACAGCATGATATCAGAACCTTGATACTGGTCTCCATTTTCATGAGCTTGAACATCTCCTTCATGTCAATGTTTGACTCTGACAGTTCTCTGTAGGTGGATCCAACAAAGTTTAGCTGGGTGGAGAGTTGAATTAGGAGTCCATTGACCATCACCAGATCCCCAATGGTGGCAGTACCTGCAGAATGTCAGATACATTTTCACTTAACTGCAATGATTATACACCTATAAAATATCAGATTCAATTCTGATTTTATATAAAGAAAGTACACTATGTAATTTACTTTATGCTGAATTCAATTATAAGTGTAAACTGAGTTTCAAGAATATATACCGTAATACATTTATCATATATATGGTATGTCATCAGTAAACACTTGAAGCATTTGAATTTGTGAGGTCCATCTCCATGGACTGAAAATTTCTTTCCTATTTTAATGTACACAGAAAGCTTGTTGGTTAAGTGGGTAAAGTGATTTATACAATTTCATGTATAATTCACAATTGCTATTCAAATCATGATTCATTAAGGCTGCAACCTTTATCTTTAATATGGATATAGATTCTCATTGTATAATAGTGTATAGTGAAATATGTGGAGATAGTTAAGGGAAAAAAGGGCCACATCTCTGCATTTTGATGAAAATATGGAGAATTTAACACAAATCAAAACGTTAAGTACCATACAGTTGCATTAGTGTTTCCCTGTTTACTTTAAAGAAAAATATACCCCAGTATTAATAATTTACACCGCATTAATGTCGCCAAGTGATTTATCTATTTATTAATTTTTATATCTAATTATCCTGCTGTGAACCCCATGTTGTACCTTGTGTAATTCCTTGAGCAGTCAGTGCCATGACACCTGTGAGGCCGATGGAGAATATTAGATTCTGTCCACTGTTTAACAAGGCCAGAGTCTTCATTGTTAGCTGTCTTAAATCCATATACTTCCCAGTCAGTTTGTCATACACCTTAGCTTCATAATCTTCGTTGTTGAAAAGCTAAAATTATTATAAGAAATTAGATTTGTTTTTGTGATCTTAATTTTTCATCTTGAGAGGTGATAGGCCTAGTTATAATAGTTATTGCCCTTTGGTCTTTGCCTTTTATAAATATATATTTATAAATTACCTTTACAAGTTCATAGTTCAGAAGGCACTCTGTGGCTTTACTTCTTGTTGCATTTTTAGCCATATTCATACTACGCCTTATTTTACTCCTACAAAGAGAAGTCACTACTCTGTCACATACATGTGTATTTGGCCAAGAAATTTACTTGCTTTATAAATATAAACTATAAAATGCAACAATTTTGATTAAAGAATTCTATTTTACCTGCACAGATAGTATGTCTTCATTCTTCAATGTCTATATTATGGTATTTGAATGTATTATCAACTGTTTCTCCTATTCATTTTCCCCAGTTCAGTACATATTATACTTCAAGGTGATGTTTATCACCACATTATGTGATGATACCATTTATTCCTTTGTTACATATTTTTAACTTCATATTAATGGTAGTCAAGCAAATTGAATATGATTTTCAGTAATCACCTTCTATGGAAATATATAAATCTAATTCTGTTACACTCTACCTTTTTTCTGTGTATTGGAGAGTAAACACTACATAGGTAATGATAGTTCCACAGGTTATAGCTGCATAGGTCAAACCAAACCTATAACCCTGTCAAAAAATATCACAAAAATATTTAGAATTTATTGCTTCTTGAGTGTTTCGTTAAATATATAAGTGACCAATGGAACTGGATGATTTATCACTTACCAAAATGCTAGAAACAAGCAAAACTTCCAGTACTGAAGGAATGATATTCACAACTAACATCCTTAACATTGTGTTCATTCCTCTGAAAAAAAGAAAAGCAAAATCTTAAAAAAAATTAGACATAAACCTACGTTACATGTACATGTATACAATTTTCATTTTTGTAAGCAGTATGTTTACTTACTCTGTGCCCCTGCTGATGGCCTCACACACATCTGAGGTGTCTTTGGAGGAGTGGAACTTGTGGTCCATGTACAGCATGTTCCTCAGAATATTTGTGGCAACTTTCCTCATGGAACTCTGGGCTACTTCACTGAATACATAATTCCTCATCTCACTGAAGAATGTGGACAAAATCCTGGCAATGCCATCTACAATTAATATTTCTGAGATTATAAAATTACTCTTACAGATGGAATTATGTACATGTATGTATTGTGTCAAGTCATAATCAGCATCAAGGAAGATAACTTTTGAAGACCACTGAAAACATAACATATATCTACTTTTCATTCCTTTTTCTTTCCTTTTTTTCAAACTAAAACTTATTCAATCAAATTACACAAGTAAGGAGATAGAAAGTCTATTAAAAGTGACAAATATACTAAGAAAACTGGAAAATTTATCCATCAAAGAATCACTCCCTTATTCTGACCAAATTGAAATGAAAAATAACATGGCTTGAGAACTCTAAGGGCATTATTTGGGCAAGTTAAGTACCGGGTAATTCAAAATAATCAATATGGCTTGAAAAAAAATGTATACAAAAAACTAACAAAAGAGAGCATAAACTAAAGATGGTGAGAATTTTAAAACCTACAGATTAACATGGATCCTGTAGCTACTGTTAAGACAGCAGTTGGGGCACTGGTCAAGTCCAGGAAGTTTTCTTTATCTCCAAGGTAATCTACTGCATATTTAAATATAAATGGCACACAAATATTGATGGCCTGAAATAAAAGCAAAAAAGGTGTGACAAATTAATTCATTATAAGTGAATACAAAGATAAATAAACTACTACAGTGTAACTAATTAAACAATTTAAGTTTGAAGCACATTTGTTTCACTTCGAAAAAGTTACTAACCATGTTAAAAATAAACAAAATTTGATTAAAGAGGTCAAGTAGAAAGAACAATTCATTCAGGTAACCTAACCTGAATGGTACAATTAAAAAGTCACACTTTCAAGGATGCAAATTTTTCCTTCTCCTCTTTAATCTTCCCCTCCCACCACTACATTTTAATAAATAATTTAAACCTTAGAGCCAAGAAGTAGCGAGGTTGTTAATATGATGCGCCGTTTGATGAACCAATCATCTTTAGGCCAGATAAAACTAAGAAGGTATCGTCGAATTTCTTTATTGGTGACATCAGGAGTTCTCTCATCTTCCTTTTTAGCTGCAGGCTTTGTAGATAAAACTCTCGCCTCAACAACAGCATTATTCCAAGAGCGCTGAAAGAAAGAGAACATAAAAGCTACCAATGTGTCAAGGCATTGAGTCAAGGCATTAGCAACATTTTATTTAAGGTAAGGTTTGTGATTACAAAGAGATAACTCAAATATTGTTAACAAGGATGCCATGGATCATCCGAGCATTTGAAACAAAAGTAAATATTACAAATGTAGACATGCGTAGTCATTCAAGTCATGGTGTTTTCGAGATAAAAGAGGTAAATTTTAGTGTTGTCAATGAAAAACCATCTGAGTAACCAGTTATTCGATCGGAAAAATAAGCGAGTAACTGGTTACTAAAAATTGTCCGATTTGACAACAATAGTAAATTTCAATCCCAAAAATTATTCTTCAAGCAATTTAAAGACAGTGAAGTGAAAAGGGATTCATTAGAAAAATCTTCCAGTGGAAAACTCAGTGAAAGACAACCACAATTTCACCTTGCAAACCTTACCTTAATACCATCAACATATGCATACCTAGTCCGAAATATCTGACGTTTTCCAGGCTTTTTTCACGATTTTGATATTTTACGTGCCAGGAAAACGTCAGAACCGGCGCCATTACGAAAACTGGAAATTTCACCGTCTCCAACCGGGGCTGATTTTCGATACTTGCAAACTGAGTTAAATGCCGAACTTACTATTTATCAGTACCAGAATGCCCCTAGTACTCACCAATATCGATGAAAAGAAAATATCACTCCACATTTCGATTTGGTTTTGCAAGAGTTTAAAATGCACGAAATGAAAAGAAATTCGACTGTGTGATAAAATGGTTTTCACCAGATTGTATTTTTCATAAACAAACCCATATAAACGATGCTGGTGAGTATTAAAGGCATTGTACTATTGATAAGTTGTGAATTCAGCATTTAATTCGGTTCGCAGGTATCGAAAATCAACCCGAGAATGCCGTCTCCAGTTGGAGGCGGCGAATTTCCAGTTTTTGTAATGGCGCCGGTTCTGATGTTTTCCTGGCACGTAAAATATCAAAATCGTGAAAAAAGCCTGGAAAACGTCAGATATTTCGGACTAATGCATACCCATCTTAATTAAAGGCATGTATATTCCATATATTATTTTAATTTTACAAATACACATACCTTCAGAAAAGTATTTTCATGACACAAGCTTCCAAGTACAGCTTTCTCAGGAGCATGACCCTGAAATTTTTGATTTAAGAATAATAAAAAAGTACATGTATCTCCATTTCATATTCAAACAGTCAAAGTGAACGTCCGTAAATCTGACCTTATGTTACTCACGGGTTTGAAATTATGTAAATACTGTCTACATAGATTGTATTTTGGTACACTGCTTTGGCATAAGGGTTTTAAATTCAGAATTCTATGTGAACATTGTCTACATTGCAGTATTTTTGCAAGGCCTGTCATTCCCTCAGCTGTACTTTCACTTCCGGTGAGTACATATAGATATTCCGTACATAAAAAATTCCTTTTCATTCATTTCTGAGAACGAGTTAGTTTTGAATGCAATTTTCCGGGAAGCCGCACGAGGATTACGATGGAGCCAGATTTAATACAAAATTCTCATGTACATCACAATAGTTATGAGGACACTGACTTCGGACCAAAGTTTAAGAAGTTGAGAATAACTGACAACGTCAGAGAATTACAGACTGTGTTACGTGACAAGTAGGTGTTTAGTGTCATTTCATATTTCTGTTGTAATCGACTGTAATTTCTTTTGTTTACAAACACGTGTTAAAACATTAAAACGAGAATAAAACTTTGCCAAAGGTCTTCTAGATGTAATTGAACAAATATACATTTTTATATTTAGTGGTGTTCATGTTGTTAGGCAGTCACCCCCCCCCCCCCCTCAAAAAAGCAAACCCCCCCCCCCTTCACCAAATATCTAAATATCAGAGCAAGCAATGCAATATACATGATATGCTATGCCACTATACAGACATAAGACATTTATGTCTCAGAGGTTATAAAATGAAGCAAATTCATAATGAAGTTTATAAAATTATTTAGGTATTTTTTTTTGGTTCAGATATCTTGAACAGAACATACTTTAGGTTAAATTATTTGATGTTTTTATTGTACAGTAGGCCTAATGTGCAACATAACTTATGATACACATTAGACAAGAAGTAGATACAATGACTTTATTTGCAAATAAAAGCTGTTGCTAGGTAAATGTAGATCGACATTTTTCTTACAAATTGTTAATTTGTAATTCAAACTGAATTCGTCTTCAGATTTTCCGTTTACCAGATCATGACAAGGGGAGCACATGGCAGGTAACCCAAGACGACAGGGGATGCCTACTCCTCCATGGCACCTGATCACACCTCTGTTTTCAGAGGTCCTAGTTGGCTTTGTTTATAATTTGTATTATTTAAATGGACTCTTTAGATACATGATCACTGTTCGTTATCTTCAGATTTTACCTTTCCATATCGTTTTTCCTTTGGAAAGCTACTATTATAATTTGTATATCTAAAAAGTTTTCCTAAATGTCCTGATGTAATGTGTAATCTGGTCTGTGTGGGTAGGTTAAGGTTACCTGTCAAAAATTATATTGCACGTATGCAGTCTCTTCTCTGAACAACCAAGAAAAGATCTCAAGACACTGCAAACTTGAGCTGTCATGATGTGGAGAGTGTCATAAAACTTTACAACTTAATTGATAGTGCATGTAAAATGAATGCTATTGTAAAATCCATATGTCTACATTGTCCGCGGTTTGAGGATTTGTTATATTTATTTATTTCATATTTTAAAGTTAACAATATTTTATTTCATTTCCCTAAATTGGCATTCAGTGTATCAATATGATAACAAAGAAATAGAATTGTAAAGTTGCATGTAACAGGTAGCATTTATCATTAATGTAATCATTATATAATGTAACTGACTGGTGCAAGTGATTGATAAGAATTAATTTAACACATTATCCTTGATTTGGGAGGAATAAGTTGTATGTTCTCTTTCTGAATCTTATTTAGGATGCTGTTGTGATTGCTTCAGTATTAGTATTAATTGCAGTGCTATAGAGAAAATACATGTACCAACAAATACATGGGTTCATTGCAAGTTGAAATTCTCATATAAAAATATTTTCTTTAAGAGGTACATGTGCATGTAACTACTCATTGACAAGTTCGTCGCTAGCACTTTTCAGGTTTTTTACATTAGAAAATGAGTTCATTTATGTAACAAAAAAAAAGACAGTGTTAATCACTTGCATAGAAGCAACTGACATCCAACACATTTAAAAAATATAATTGAATGTAACTTGATCATCAAGGTCATGTGACATTGTGACTGTCAAAATATATCTAATAGAACCCTCTGTGCAAATTGACTGTACTTACATACAGAGTTCATAAATTAAAATAGAAATTGGGCTAGCTTGCAATGTAATGATGTATAAGCTTCCAACAACTTTAACATAGCTGCATGTCCTATGAATAAGAACATTTAATAGCACAATAAAGATATATATAATAATGATGTACATTCAATTTTTTATTAAAATGTGAAATTTCTATTTTTAGATCAACATCACGAGGGGATTTTATTTTTTATGCAGATCGATTGGTAAGGAAAATATATGAAAAATTAAGAGTAATACCTTAGTACGCTTCAACTACATATCAAAGAAAATGCAGTGCTAAAGTATTTTCATTACTGCCGAGGAATTAAACTTGACAAAAGATCTTTCTTGCCCTTCCTATTAATATTCATAATTATTAAGATCATATTTGTGATAATTCTTTGATAATAAAGAAGTTACTATCCCTGCTTAAAAGTTACCAGTAATTAATAGCCGAGCTGGTCATCTGGTTGCTTATCACAGAATGGAATTTTTCTTAACACTTGACGTGTATTACAAAAATGATATATTGTTGCCAACTCTTGTACCGGTACATATTACTTATGATTGACATTTTAACATAATGTTTCTTATCAGATTCGCCTTGTAGTTGAGGAGGGTCTCAATCAACTTCCTTACAGATCAAGCGAGGTCACCACTCCTACAGGTAAGTTGAGTATTGGGGGGGGGGGTGGGGGTGGGTAGTCCTTCTTTTCACTTGTAGAATTACTGCATATAGTAATGATGAATCCCATGTGTTAGACATAAAGTTTGCATACATAATATTCATTGTACAATAAAATGTCAAAGCCTATCTAGAGGAGATACATGTATTAGTCATTTAAATTAAATACCAAGATTTTTAATGTGTAGACAGAATTATTGAATTTTTAAAAATCAAAGTTCATGTTTTCAACATGTTCAAATTCATTCCTTTCACATATACATGTTTTTCAAATAACACCCAGTCAAGAAGATGTATTGAATAAACTCTGAATAATAACATATATTTTGGGTTATATTGCAGGACAGGTATACAGTGGTCTAAGATATGAGAAAGGAAATTGTGGGGTCAGCATAATGAGAAGTGGTGAGTCAACCTATGTGTTAGAGCTAGTATTCTCCAATATGTTGTAGGAAATAATTTTCTATGAAAAGTAAACTTTATATAAATGCCAAAAATTTTTGGTGTTTCTTCATACTTTATGTAATTTCAAATCAAGTTTAATTCAGACTGTATTTTATATATATACATGGATGTGAAAGGTAATGTACATGTATGTCTTACAATCCTTCACAAATCTCCAGGCAGTAAATGAATTTAAGAAATTTGTAAACTTGACCAGATTTCTTTGTTTTACTATGACAGGAGAGGCGATGGAGCAAGGTCTTCGAGACTGTTGTAGGTCGATACGTATTGGAAAAATCCTCATCCAGAGTGACGAGGACACACACGAGGCCAAGATTGTATATGCCAAACTCCCTCCTGATATTGCTGACCGCAAGGTGCTCCTAATGTACCCCATCTTGAGTAAGTGTGGTATAACACCCTGTTGTTGGAAAAATGGATATTTTTCTAGGCTCACCAAGTTTTTAGTTAGGACTACATGGAATCATCTCAATGATTTCCCCCATAGGAAAGCCTGACATAGTGATCCGACATGTTAAACCATCAGTGATTTGTAGCTGAGTTAAGGCTTTTGTTGTTACATGTATTTTGTACTGGAAAATTCTGTGAAACACCTATATTGTATGAGGTTTACTGTTAGCTGTATGACCATTGGCTAACATTGGCTGAGGGTAACCTTGATGGACTATTATATAAATAGTGCACGTTTTTGAGGGTAACAGTTGAAATTGACACCCCAAGGAAAACCATTGTCAACCGACGCGTCAGCGGAGGTTGACAATGGTTTTCCGAGGGGTGTCAATTTCAACTGTTACCCTCAAAAACGTGCACCATTTATTTTATTATACTGAATGTCTTATTGATTTCGGATGTCATAAAAAAATTCGGAGATCGTCGTTAAGTTCACGCTTAGAAAGCTTTCAAACTCCCCGCTTCTATTTTTCTCAATAAGAAAGCTTCGGAAAAGATTTACCAACCTCTTTATAGCTTGTTTGCTACTCAAAAAGTCCTTTATCATCTAAAGTTTGCACTCGCAAGGATGTTTCGTCTGTCGTTTGTTGTTTTCAAGTAAGCTTCATCGGACGCAAGCTTTTAATGAAGTCGTTTATGCTGCTTCTTTCAAACGCACAACTGACGTTTTGAGAATTCTACGGTGAACCGTACGCGCATGATTTGAACGCATGTGATATTTTCGTAATATTACCCGTTGCTAAGTGTGTTGCTAACGCTGAGGGTAACATTACGGATAGTTAAATGCGTCTAAACCAATCAGATTTTAGTATTTAACATGAAAGTATAATAAAGTATGATATTGTTCACTTCAGAAGAATATCTGACTCTCTAGTATAGATCACAGAAAATGATTATAGTACATGTACAGTGTATGTCTCAGAGTTTCTATTCTTTATGGGGAAAGTAATAATTAGCACAGTCATGAGTATAAACATAGTTTTAACGTGTGTAATATTCAAATTGTTGTCCTATAGTATCTTATGCCCTTGAGATGGGAAAAAACAGGATATAATGGGTACATGTATAATTTTCTAATTGGCTGTGTAATAATCACCTTGTTCACAAATTTAACACCATACACATACCTATTCTTAAAGTCATGAGACAGAGACTTTACAAAAGATGAAGGTCTCTTGTTGTGCTAAGATCAAAGATTGAGTATAGTTTTGCTACAATAGGAATTTCACACCCTCTTAAGTTATACAGAGATATATAATTATTGAGAAAAGGTCAAGGTTTTCAGTTTGGCCAAAGTCATACTTTTTTAAGTTTTAAAGACCAGATTCAAATTTGCATCCATTGGATCTTCACACCATCTGGAACATTTTATTTTTGTATCTTACCAGGTACAGGGAACACTGTAGTAAAGGCCTGTGCAATACTCACAGACCACAAAGTACCGGAGGAAAATATCATCCTATTGAATCTCTTCACAACTCCACAGGGTAAGCAAAATACATGACAAAGTAATAACGATAGTATTCAATGTTAGTAAAGAACTCAAGTCTTAGCTCCAACCAGCTTGTTATCTTATTAGTTGCTAATTTTCAAATTTATCAATCTCAGGGTTTTAGTATTTATTTCTGTTTTGTTTCAGCTATAGAAAAAGCACAGGATTTTCACATTATTTATTTTTCACGTATATATTAAAAAAATAACCCCATACCTTGTAAATAACTTTAAGGTATGGGGACGGGTTAATTTTTTCAATAAGAAAAATATGTGACAACAAGTGCCTGTGGTATAGGCTCATTGTTATGCTATACAAACTTTGTAGAATATAAAATTTTGTTTGATTTTCAAACTGAATAGATAAACCATTGGTTAGCCCTGTATTTCTAGATACATAATTTATGATAATATTATAACTGCATTTATCAGAGACAAATCTTACTCTTTCTATTTCAGCTGTTCGCTTGGTCCAGAATAAATATCCAGAAGTGACCATCTTGACATCAGAAGTTCACCCTGTGGCACCTAATCATTTTGGACAGAAGTATTTTGGTACAGAATAATGAACGTTGGAAAGCTCAATAGCTCTCAGTGTGAATGCTTGGTAATGAATATGTCTTAAGTTTTGGTATGTCTGTAAAAAATGAGAACTTAGAAGGAACAATTTTTTCGTCTGCTTTAAATCAATTGTCCATTTTTTTTCCCCTTCATTTTTTTTTTCATGAATGCCTTTTTGGTTGATGAAATATCTCTTTAAAAAATCTCAGGAATATTTGGCATTGTTCACCGAGATTTCCGATTTGACACATGTATGATTATAATTATGTTCATGTATATTATATACATATAATGAAAGGACTAATGTAATTTAACATTTGATAATTAAATTAGATTTACATGTATGATGAGCATTTACTGGTGCCAGGAATTGTGTGATAATGTTTTGGTGTTTTTTAAAGTATTATTAAATGTTTATACATTATTTGTTGCAACAATGTAAACAACAATGTAAAATGCACAAAGCCCTTTTTTCCCTTTTATTAATGGACTTTTTGTCTTTATTTTTTGTAAAAATCTTGACATATACAAAGTATCATGATACTAGTTGATTGTAAATTGAAACTAGGTGTTTATTTCTCTCAGTAGTCTCTAGCCGTATGACTGAGAATATGGGTATGAATGAGGATGGAATATAATTACATGTGTAATATGTTGTGTCTGACTCAGTAAAATTTACTTATTCCACTAATTGCATTATTGCAATAACAGTATATACTGAGTACATGTATAATCAAATGACACACCTTAATCTTGTACTTTACCAAAATACTGAAAACAAACTTTTTTCCATGGGGTCATAATTCCATGAAATCAGAATTTCTGTTCAATCTGTGGGTAGAAAATTATGCAGATTTTTCTTGGAATGTGTTTACATGTCCTTAATGCATTTTAAGTCTGCATACGTAGTATAAATTAATCCCATACGGAAAAAAGTACACCTACAGTAAATGATCATACCAACGTATTTTCATTTTTTTTCTCTGTAACATATACCAAAATAAAAGATTATTTATCCAAAAAGGTCACATTGCTTGTATTATCATGATAATACATGGTAAATATGATTTTTGTTTTTGTTGAGTACATTATGCATACTTTTGTATTTTATCAGAGCATTTATATAAAACTAGAATATGTTTACATGTATTAGAATTGGAATGTGCAATTAAAAATTAACAATTATATTTGCATTATGACACAAGGGCTTCATTTGTGAAAAGAACTCAATTTTTAACACATGTATCAGAGTTATGGCCTTTGACATAAAATAACTGGAACTTAATTAATTCTTATTTGTTTTGTCATGTAAATTGTTAAGGAAGAAAAAAATGGATGTATTTAATATTTACAAGATATTTTCACAAGTTATAAAATTGTTAATTATGGAGATGCTGTCTTGAAAGTGAGTCTGTTATACCTATCTAGTAAAAAAGCAGTTTACATTGATTTGATATTAATATCTTTATGTTTATAGTAAATGTTGACGTGTACTGGTATACTGAAAACTGCCACAATCTATAGAAATTTGTTCATTTCTTGAAAATACATATGTGTAGCTAGAATTACCTTTACTTGTTCATTTTGAATCAGAATAAAGCAATTCTGTATGAAATGGAGTACCTATGCATCTCTTTTTAAAGCCAATAAGAAAAGGATATGTTGATGAAATACAGTATTTCAGATGCTGTTAGAACGAAAAAAAAATCTTACTGGTTACTGAGCTCTCTGTAAATTGTGGTGAAAATTTATCACCAGCTAAACTCTGTAATAGATCATGTCGGCTGCATCATCAAAATTGATTTCTGTGCATGAACTGCACAGGATTCAAGACAAATAAAACATTGACTCACATTAATACTTTTTATCCCCCCCCCCCCCACCCCCCAGAAAGGAAGAACAATTTCTGAGTTTCCATGTTTGTTATTTTTTTAAGTTGGAAGATTACATGAAAAAAGTAACACCAGAATGTATGCTTAAAGCTGACATGATTGATTAAATATGCAATGCTGTAAAATCACTTATTTTCGTGGGGTCAAATTTTTTAGTTTGAGGAAAATATATTGGTATGAAAGAATTTGATTTTGTAGGTAAAAAAAGACTTTATACTGTTGATGTGTTGTATAGAATTTTAACATATTTGTGGGCATCTTTATACCACGAAATCAACAAAAATTAGACCCTCATTAAATTTAGGAATTTCACAGTAGTTTTGTTCTTCAAATACATGACCTGCATGTCCTGTATAACTGTTAAGCTTACAGAGATATGCACTTCCAGAATGCCTTCTAAATTTGTCAGTAAAAAGCTATAATTCTTAGAGATATCAATCCTGTATATATAATAAAAAAAATCAATTTAGAGTAATCTTGAAAATCATCCAAACCTCCCATTTTATATTTAAATCTGTTTTGTGGTGATTCATGTCATACTTTGTTCCATGGCCATATATAACTTCAGCCAAATAACAGGTAAAAGAAAACACCATAACACACAATAAAAGTTTTAATATTAAAGCAACAAAAACAATTCATATTAATGCTGGTACAATGTACTGTAAATCATTATATTTCATGTGACTTTTTTCGGTGAGACAATAGCACTGCATTTATACCAGATATAAATCTTATGTATATTTCCTAGACAATAAATAATTAAAGTCATTTCCCATAACTAGTCTATTGATGAAAATTTATTTTCAAGATGAGACAATAATTACTTTAGTGCATCTATGGTTGCATTTCCATAAAAAAAAATCTCCATGTATAAAAAAAACATTCCTCTCCTGCATCACATTGCTCTCTCTAGCAAAATTTTTTTCACATAAATTTGGTCTTTTTGATGACATGTCTCTTTATAGAAAGAATTATCAATGACCTATTAAACCTATAAAAAAATTTCAATCGTCTCCCTCCCTTGCTTCCAAATTTTTTGGAGAAATTTGAGTCCTGCTTATCCAAGCATGCTTTTTAACAAGTTTGGTTGAAATAATAATACAGAGTTAACAGACAAGACACCAATTGGATGGGCAGAAAAAATTAAGAAAATTTTTGATTAGAAAAGCTTACTTGAGCCTTTGGCCCAGATGTGCTAAGAAGTTGCAGACAAGAAAGATAATTAAGCATACACTAGCTAGGGTTTATGTTCAACAAACAACAATACTTATTTTAGAAAACAACACTTTATAAAAGGTTATAAAATAACTATAAAAAACAGCACTTTAAACAAATTAAATAAAATACTGAAGCATAGAAGCCTTCTTTTCTTGTAAAGTTTAAAGTTAATACTAGTATAACATTATTTTTTGCAAAAAATAACCTGAAACTAGAAATATGTCCATAGGACATGAATGCCCCGCCAAGGGTATATTAGTAATGCAACATTTTAACACAAATTGAGAAAAGTGAGGTCAAGGTCAAAGGAAAGGTCAAGGTCAAAAAATATTGCTGCAGTTGAATAGCTTACATCAGTATGTATCAGCATATGACGTTTGATTCAGAAACTAATTTAAGAAAAGTGAGGTCAAGATCAAAGGAAAGGTCAAGATCAAAAAATGTTGATGTAGTTGAAAAGGTTACATCAGTATGTATTAGCATATGAAGTTTGATGAAAATATTATGAATGGTTTCTTTAAAACTGAGCTAAACACTAATTTAAGAAAAGTGAGGTCAAGGTCAAAGGAAAGGTCAAGGTCAAAAAATATTGATGCAGTTGAATAGCTTACATCAGTATGTATCAGCATATGAAGTTTGACACTAATTTAAGAAAAGTGAGGTCAAGGTCAAAGGAAAGGTCAAGGTCAAAAAATGTTGATGCAGTTGAAAAGGTTACATCAGTATGTATTAGCATATGAAGTTTGATGAAAATATTATGAATGGTTTCTTTAAAACTGAGCTAAACATTAATTTAAGAAAAGTGAGGTCAAGGTCAAAGGAAAGGTCAATGTCAAAAAATATTGATGCAATTGAATAGCTCTCATCAGTATGTATCAGCATATGAAGTTTGACACTAATTTAAGAAAAGTGAGGTCAAGGTCAAAGGAAAGGTCAAGGTCAAAAAATGTTGATGCAGTTGAATAGCTCTCATCAGTATGTATCAGCATATGAAGTTTGATAACACTATCTTGAATGGTATCTTTAATACTGAGCTAAAAACTTATTTAAGAAAAGTGAGGTCAAGGTCAAAGGAAAGGTCAAGGTAAAAAATATTGATGCAGTTGAATAGCTCTCATCAGTATGTATCAGCATAAGAAGTTTGACACTAATTTAAGAAAAGTGAGGTCAAGGTCAAAGGAAAGGTCAAGGTCAAAAAATGTTGATGCAGTTGAATAGCTCTCATCAGTATGTATCAGCATATGAAGTTTGATAACACTATCTTGAATGGTATCTTTAATACTGAGCTAAAAACTTATTTAAGAAAAGTGAGGTCAAGGTCAAAGGAAAGGTCAAGGTAAAAAATATTGATGCAGTTGAATAGCTCTCATCAGTATGTATCAGCATATGAAGTTTGTTAAAAATATCTTGAATGGTTTCATTAAAACAGAGCTAAACATTAATTTAAGAAAAGTGAGGTCAAGGTCAAAATAAAGGTCAAGATCAAAAAAATGTTGATGCAATTGAATAGCTTACATCAGTATGTATCAACATATGAAGTTTGATAACACTATCTTGAATGGTATCTTTAAAACTGAGCTAAACACTAATTTAAGAAAAGTGAGGTCAAGGTCAAAGGAAAGGTCAAGGTCAAAAAATGTTGATGCAGTTGCATATTCCTCATCAATATCTATCAGCATATGAAGTTTGATAAAAATATCTTGGATAGTTTCTTTGAAACTGAGCTTTGAACAGAGCTAAACGCAAAGTGTGACGGAAGGACAGACGGAAGGACGGAAGGACAGAAGGACGGAAGGACGGAAGACGGACATGACAAACACTATATGCCCCGGCCATATTCATGGCGGGGCATAAAAAAGTTTATACAAAACAGAATAATATGTGCTTATTCTATTTCCTCTTTTTTCTATGCATTACTTCATATGTCTAAAATTCCTCAAATGCTACAATACTCAACATTTGCTCTGAATCATCTATGCTACCAAGTGTTTCTGATTTGCTGGACTCCCCACAAACCCAAGGGTTTGGGAGTGAAACACTTGGTAAATGAAGATTGCATTGGATGTATAAAAGGACATTGACGCGTAGCTTAAAGATTTCAAAATGATTCTAGCTATAGAGTGCTTTTGTTCTCTACTCCTAGTATTTCGTTCTGATTATAAACACTTTCCTCCATCTGTAAGTACATTGGATACTTGTCAACCCCGCGACATTTAGCTTTATGCCGCTGTAAATGGTATTTTGTGTAGTAGTTTTTGTCACATAACTCACAGTGAAAGTTCTTCTGTCCAGTGTGAATAAGAATGTGTCTTTTGTAGTTTTGCTTTTTAGTAAAGGTCTTTTCGCAGGACTCACACTGAAAAAGACCAGATTTCGTATGGATTTTCTCATGGAGTTTTCGATCTGTGTCCCGGTTGAACGTTCTTTCACAAAATGTGCACCTGAGTTTTTCCACTTTATGAATTCCCATGTGAGACTCCAAATGTGCCTTTTGTCGAAAAGATTTATGACACAATTCACATTGAAAATTTCTTTCACCTGAAAAAAGATACATAATTTCAAACCTGCTTCTATAAAATACACAAAAGTATACGCTTCAGCCTATCAAACTGAGAAATCTCTTCTTTTTTTTCTACATACTTTACATAGTGCATGATTGTTTTATTGATTGAATTAAGTATTATGTCTCAACTACATACAAGTAATGAAACAAGAGGCCCAGGGGCCACATCGCTCACCTGAGCACTCTGCCTAGGAAAAAGCAGAAATCAGTTCAGTCTTGAAAAGTTTTGTTATAAAAGTGGTTTGAGGGGGGAGGGGGGGGGGGTTATTTTGAACTTGAATCTATACTTCAAAGGGATGCTTTTGAATTAATATGACAAATAATGGCTATGCTGTTCTTAGGAAGACAATTTTTATTGATATATCATTTATATTCTTTTGTATAACTATGATCCCCTGTTATGGCCCCTCTATTCTCCTGGGGGTTCATGATTTGAACAAAATTTGAATCTACATTACCTGAGGATGCTTGCATTTAAATATGACTAATTATTGCTTTGCTGTTCTTCAGAAGAAGATTTTAAAAGGCTTGCTTTTTCCTATGTATTCCTATGTAAAACTTTGATTGCCCATTGTGGCCCCACCCTACCCCTGGGAGGTCATGATTTAAACAAACTTGAATCTACACTACCTGAGAATGCACCCATAAAAAAAAAACAATCATGGCTTTGCTGTTCTTGAGAAAAAGATTTTTACAAATTTTTCCTAAGGCCCCACCTTACCCCCAGGGTCATGATTGGAACAAACTTGAACCTGCACTACTTGAGGATGCTTCCATGTAAATATGACCAATCATGGCTTTGTTGTTCTTGTGAAGAAGATTTTTACAGATTTTTCCTATGTATTCTTATTTAAAACTTGGATCGCCCATTGTGGCTCCACCCTACCCCCGGGGGTCATGATTGGAACAAACTTGAATCTACACTACCTGAGCATGCTTCCATATAAATATAACCATTCATGGCTTTGCTGTTCTTGAGAAGAAGATTTTTAAAGAATTTTCCTATATATTCCTATGTAAAACTTTGATCGCCCATTGTGGCCCCACCCTACCCCCGGGGGTCATGATTTGAACAAACTTGAATCTACACTACATGAGGATGCTACTACATAAATATAACCAATCATGGCTTTGCTGTTCTTTTTAAAGAATTTTCCTATATATTCCTATGTAAAACTTTGATCGCTCATTGTGGCCCCACCCTACCCCCAGGGGTCATGATTTGAACAAACTTGAATCTACACTACCTGAGGATGCTTCCATATAAGTTTCATATTTTCAAGCACAGTGGTTCTTGAGAAGAAGATTTTTAAATGATGCCATTAATTTTTCATGAATTCATGATTATCTCCCCTTGGAAGAAGGCGTGGCCCTTCATTTGAACAAACTTGAATCCCCTTCACCCAAGGATACTCTGTGCCAAGTTTGGTTGAAATTGGCCCAGTAGTTCTGGAGAAGAAGATGAAATTGTGAAAAGTTTACAACAACAACGACAACAACGCCGACGACGACGACAGACAACGGACAAATTTTGATCAGAAAAGCTCACTTGAGCCTTCGGCTCAGGTGAGCTAAAAATGTTCTCGTAGAATTCCAATATGTATTTCAGTTAAAAAGGGAAATAACTCTGTATTAACCTGAGTGCTTACAATTTTCTAACACACTATAAGAAACTCCGTTTTACAAAATACAGAAGTATAGCAGATCATAAACATGGGAAATTATTGAATCAGGTAATTGTAACTGCTCTCTGCAAATAATGAGTTTTGCTACGAAGGGAAGTCATGAACCATTTAATATTCAATTGCATATTTACATAGAATGTTTCATCAGTTGCAAAAATTATTAGTCTTGTGTGGATTTCATACTGATGTATCATGCATACAAATTAATGCTAATAATGGTTGGTTTACAGAATACATTGTATAACATGGAAATTTATAGCCTTACCTTTGTGGACTGCTAAGTGTTTTTTGAGATTACTGTTACTGGCCAGCACTTTCTTACAAAATGGACAAGTGATGAGTTCTAAGGGATCGGATTTTTGTTTCCTGGATTTGGATTTCAGACAGAAAGGATCATTATCATCCACTGGATTACAGAGGGCTTCCTTGTGTATGTCTGCAAGATGCTGCCTCAGACCCTGCTTTTTACGGAACATTCTGGCGCAGACTGGGCACTCGTTGACACTTCCTGGTTTGGGAATCAGTGAGAAACCTGTGAGAGATCAAACAGAAATATGTTAATGTACCTATACTAATTATATATTTAGAAATATTACTTCGAGATTACACCATTATTTTTAGGAAAAAAAATTGTTCTTATACATGTACATCAGGATATATATGGATTAATTTATTCATTTTGGAGATTCTTTATGCACTGAATGATCATTTTTAGCAATGCACTGCATTATAAAATGTACAAGGTCTGTTTACAAATTTTTCAATGTATACTGATGAAAATTTGTATGTACACATCACCTTGTGTGATTTATGACAAAGTGAAATTCAAAAAAATGAATATTTAATGCTTATACACATACAAATATCAATTCTAAAAACTTATATTTGCCCTCATTTACTACTAATTTCAATTTTTTCTCAACCTAATTTACCATTGTGTCATCATATTCTGCACTGATGATGATCTGACAAATGAAATGCAAGTTTTATTAAGGAGTTATGAGCAAAATTTTTAAATAGAGTACATGCACTCAAAAAATATGATACCAGTATTTCACATTATGAAATGGTTATTAGAATGACACATTTATGAAGTAATTATATTCTTTATCAGGTATATACATGTAACTGTGTACTTTTTAAGTTTCTAAACATTTACCACAAATCACAGCATACTCCTTGGAGAACCAGTACAAGAGTTCTTCCCCTTCTCTGATGTCTCTTTTGGCAAAGAAGAACAACGACCTTCCCACCTGATGTACGATCAAGTTCTGCTCCACGATGTTCTGAGCAGGGCGTATGAATCTCAACCAATTACTAAGTTCTTCATCCTCAGTTGTAATATAGTGACAATCATTTTCTGCCATTACCTGAAAGTAAATCCAATTCAGCTAATATTGTTGGGATACTACCCAGTAAATAAACTGTGAATGTGTCATCATCCATATACTGAATATATGAAGTTTAAAAGTCATCTGATCCTTAAAGACATAAGATGAAGTGATTTAAATAAGAACTTTTGTTCAGATGAGCTAATAAATATTCACAAGCATAGGTGTGTATTTTGAAAATTAGACAAATCCACATTAAATTCCATGTCCCACGATAATGAAACAACTTAGCCCAAAGTCAAAATCCATAAATTGACCTTATTAGTATAGTACATGTAGTCAAATAGTCCAAACATAAATGTTATTCAAGATTGCATCACCAAGGTGTGTATATCTGCCAATTCAAAATTTCATTTACACAGCATCTGAAAAAATAAGGTGTCTACCTTTAGCCATTACTCATCTGTGTTGCAAATACATTGCATAAAGTTAAAAGATACTTGTGTTATTGTGTCACATAAAAGTGTTGACACAACGAAGATGGGTGGATGGACAAACATAGGGATTATTATAGGGCACCCACACTTTCATGCTGGACCCTAATTAATACTAGAAATATGTCCATAGGACATGAATGCCCCGCAGAGGGTATATTAGTAATGCAACATGAAAATTTGTATTAGTGTATGAAATTTGATGAGAATATCTTGAATAGTTTCTTTAAAATTGAAATTGAAATCTAAAAAGTTGGATATAGATGATAAGTTCTCACCAAATTATGTATAAGTGCATAAACTTACACAAATATATCTTAAATGGTTTCTTTAAAATTAAGCAAAATGCAAATCTAAGAAAAGTGAGGTCAAGGTCACAAGAAAGTTCAAGGTCAAATGTTTTAGAAGCAATTGAATACTTCTCACAAATATGTATCAGCATATTTAAGTTTGATAAAAAAATTTTGAATGGTTTATTTAAAACTGAGCTAAACACTAATTTAATATAAATGAAGTTAAGGTCAAAGGAAAGGTCAAGGTCAAAAAATGTTGATGCAATTGAAAAGGTTACATCAGTATGTATTAACATATAAAGTTTGATAAAAATATCATGAATGGTTTCTTTAAAACTTAGTAAACACACATAAAGAAAAGTGAGGTCAAGGTCAAAGGAAAGGTCAAGGTCAAAAAATATTGATGCAGTTGAATAGCTTACATCAGTATGTATCAGCATATGAAGTTTGACACTAATTTAAGAAAAGTGAGGTCAAGGTCAAAAAATGTTGATGCAGTTGAATAGCTCTCTCATCAATATGTATCAACATATGAAGTTTGATAACACTGTATTGAATGGAATCTTTAAAATTGAGCTAAACACTAATTTAAGAAAAGTGAGGTCAAGGTCAAAGGAAAAGTCAAGGTCAAAAAATGTTGATGCAGTTGCATAGCTCTCATCAACATCTCTCAACATATGAAGTTTGATAAAAATATCTTGGATAGTTTCTTTGAAACCTAGCTTTGAACAGAGCTAAACAATAAGCGTGACGGAAAGACAGATGGAAGGATGGAAGGACAGAAGAAGGACATGACAAACACTATATGCCCCGGCCATATTCATGGCGGGGCATAAAACCTGGCTTACTCTCCACTCTGGGAATGATCCTTCTGTTTCTAATGTTGTTATATCTTTCCCAATCAGTGGTCCAAACTTTGTATGTGCCCCCAAACCTTTCAGTGCATAGACACCTTCAGGAGCTGAAACCAACAAGTAACAACTTTGTAATATTTATAAAAATAGGAAACTACCAGTACAATCATTTTTCTAAGTGTTCAAGTTTTGTGTTTATTCTAGCACACAGACATAGGTTCTTTTTTCAAAGGACAAGATTTCTTTACTATACATATACTCAGTATGGTGATTTTAATCACATTAAATCTTATTATAATAAGAATGCTGAATGACTGTGTCCAAGAGCTACCATAATTGTCTAACATGAGTAGATATTGAAAGGAAAAAGTTGAAGATAACGAACAGTGATCCATCTCATAAAATATTTTTTTTTGTTTAAATCATCTTAAAAAATATTTTTCATTTAATTCATCTTGAAAAATGTTAAGACTTTACTCTGTGAGGACATAGAAGACTTTGAGAGCCTGATTTCCAGACAGCTTGGCATAGACAGACGAGCCCTGGAGGGGATGACTTTGTCTGTAATGTGGGTATACTGAACGGGACTCAGGCAGGTGCACTTAGAACTGTCACAGGTAACACAATCTAAAACAGAGCAAATCTAGTTATTACACATGGTGTGACAAGAGTAGGAAAGAGTTAATACAGTCGGTTAGACATACATGTAACAGTTGCTACCGCACATCAATGATGTAGCTAATAACCTAGATGTTTAATAAGTAAAAGATATACCATACAATTTTGACTGTTTTGTGGTGTAGTGTAAATTATATCATGGTATATGTATATCCACAACTAACTTTTCTATAGAGTCAATGGGGGCAATATAGGTTGTAAGTAAGAGTAATGCATACTGGGCAGTGCATTTCGATTATTTCTATAAGAGGTCTATATCTAAGTCATCTAAACTATCTGATAAATAAATAACTGATCAATAAAACCCATTACTGTTGCCAACAACACATTAATGAATTTGGAGAATACTAAGGTACCTGTTTGAAATGTTTCAAAATTATTCAAACTTACAGTCTACTGAAAAGTCTACAGCTTGAGTTGATGGGGTTTTCTTAACTTTTGGATCTGAAATAATGAAATGGCAATTGAGCATCCATACATACATGTATGTACATGTATAATTAACATTAATCAATGGACACATGCTGATCTACAGTGTACTCACAGGTACAAGTATAATGTATATCTTAGTTTGAGTAAGTTCATGAACATCTGTGCAAGATACTGTTTACAGGGAAATTTTCGCTCCCGTTTTATTTTCGCCCCTTTCGCCCTTCTCAGAGGTGGGCGAATTTAAAACAGGGCGAATTCAAAGAACACAGTATAATCTCTTAAACAGAACTGCAACTGGGCGAATTTAAAACGGGGCAAAGTTGTTTGCAAGTGTGAAAGGGCAAAAATAATATGGGGCGAAAATAACCCTGTATACAGTAAAACTTTAATGCATGTTAAGATAAAATGACTTGTCTTCCATTCACATTCTTCAGTGCTTGCACTTTGCACTGAAGAGCTACCTATGGTTAATTTATATACAATAATGATCATTTACGTACATCATAATGTACATATATCTTAACATCACCTATCTTATACATGTAAATTTTTTTCATTGAGAATGAACACCTAATAATTATAAAGGTCACACAGCCTTTGTGGCTACCTTCAGACTGTATAGCTGCGTTGATGTTTTCTATGGTGAGGTTGGACGGAAGTGTGACATCATCCGTATCCGCGGAGGACTGGAGGTAGTTAGTAAGACTATTCTGAATGGCAGCGTAGTCCTGGTAGTTCATCGTAGCCACTGAAAAAAAAAAACCACACTCCAAAATCTGCAATCTGATGATGTCTAGCCAAATATTGCACCATAGTTATTTGATGAATACATTTAATGAAGAATGACATTCAGTAAAAATTGTTTATAATAGAATCCTTGAGACATAAATTTTTAGTTCTAACCCATATTTTAAACCAAATTTCTCTGTATTCATATATAGAGACAGTTATGACATGAGGGATAAGAAATGATATAACTTCCTTTTTACAGAGATTTCCTTATACCCAAGCTCCTTATAAGTGAGTTTTATTGTACATGTAATTTTTGTGATATAAAATTAAGGAAGCAACAACAAAAGATAATAAAATAAAACTGGTTATGTCTGCTACTCAGGCAGATTGCAATTTAAAACTTCAATGTCTTTAAATGTAGCATTCACTTTTAAAATTTTGAAATTAATTAGTTGCATGAAATTTGGATTAAATATCTTGGATCAAGTTTCTTCAATTAAGAAATAAAAATAAAGAAGTAAAACCATTGGAATTATTCATACCGGTAAATTTTATACATATTCACAATTCTTTATAAATCTTAAAAATCCTTATTTCTTGTAACGAGTAATTTAAAATGGGTGCAAACACACAGAAATTTTAGACTGAATGTGTTCTTCTTTTGGCAAGATTTATATTTTGACACCTTTAATGCGATCTTTAGTCAGGGATAGACATTAACTTTCAGATTCACTTGCCCTTCGGGCAAGTGATCTCAAACTTTGACTTGTCCGAATGCAAAACTTGGTTGCCCAAAATTAGGATGGAACTTAAGACGAAAATTATTAATTACTGCAAGCGTTATGAAAAGAAAAAATGTGACGATATACACTACTGTCAATTTGGCAAGTTGAGCTACCGGGTACCTGAAAAAATTTCGATCCTGTATTTGTACATAAATGTATATCGCTGTACTTGTAAATTTAACCTGTTAACTCACACTGCCATTCAGCAATAACCCTCCGTTTCCTTTTTTAAAAATTCATATTTTTGAAAATTATTTGCGGTAGGATCATTTTGTGATTCGTGATTTTCAGCGATAACTGTGAAGCAACGCTTAAGGAAGATAGTTGCTACGGAACATACATCTTACCTTGATCAGGATACAACGTGTTACACTGTACTTATATTCTGTGCGTGATTAATCTAATTTCCTAAAAAGAAGTTTAACAAAATGTTGTTACTCGTAGAGCGTATTTCCTATGAAAGAAAACAACGAACTCGATTTTTAAATGAACGGTATAATCCAGAAATGCTACCAAGGAATTTCGAATGCAAAACATTGTCAGTCAGGTGCGTTGCAGAAATCAAGTGCTCAATTTATTGTTTTATCTATAAATTAATGTAAACTAAATAAATATGTACATTTGTGTGAGAAAAATTCACTTGCCCGATCGGACAAGTATGTCGATGATTTCACTTGCCCGAACTGAGAATTTACTTGTCCCGGGCAATCGGACAACCGTTAATGTCGATCCCTGTTAGTGTTCTAATTCATAACTACCACTAAAATATTACTTTATCACAGTATTATACATGAAAAATACAAAAGATTTAGAACTTAATCAACATAGTGCTAAATAGTACATCATTTATATTTTAATGCCAAACTTTAAAAGTACTAGCACATACAGAATGTACAAGTACTGTAAAAAAAGAATACAGTGAAACAAACCTGCCACTTGTGTATTAGAGGTTGACTGCAGTAGGCCCTCCACTGCCATAGTGTCAGAAGATGTAGTGACTGCATAGAACTGCTCCAACTGATCCCCACTGATCAGCAGTGACTGGGCAGGGTTTTGAATTGAGCCCAGGGAGGGATCTTGTTTAACAGAGATCATTTGATTGGCTGTTTGTCCCAGGGTTGCTGTATCAGCATAAGAAACTTGGTTGTTGATTAGCTGTCTTAGGTAGGTCACCTGTGAGGCATCAATTGGCTGAGAATGTGATGTCTCCGTGACAATAGATGATGGGGCTGAAGTTGATTGGTTGGATGAAGATGATGAGATTACTGAAAGAGAGGACGGAATGCACACTGGAATACTGGGTACAATTGAGGCCAGAGCAATGGTAGATCCAGCTGACTGTGTGATGGATGGAATTGCTGGTAGAGACACATTACTTGATGGAACTGGTTGGACAGAGCCATCACTGTTCAATAAATGACAAATGTCAACACTTTGCGAGACTGGAATAATGTCCGAATTTGCTGTAGTTTCACCAGATGACTGGTTAAGAATGTTTAAAAGTGCCTGACATGTTGCACTGTTTTGTAAGGACGGATTAGTCAGGATTAGATTTATCATACTCTGAAGACCAGCTATCTGTGCATCAGTATTAGAATTTGGATTTTGCAAAAAACTGCCATCAATACCCTCCAACTGATCAGCATTTTCTATGCCTGACACCTCTAGTTGGTTGGCCTGGGCATTTCCCTGAGCTAGGGTTGCCAGCTGTGATAACAGGGCACTTGTCTGGTGACAGTTTGCTGTAGAAGAAGAGTCTGGGGGAAACACTCCTGAAAGGACAGACTTATCAACAGGTATGACTTCTTGGATTGCTTTGATGCTGTTCCCCTCTATCGTTGAATTATGGGATTGTTCAGATGTACTCACAATAGATGAGGTAGCACTTGGTGGTGTGATGGGGGAAAGAAGCTGACGAATTGATTGCAGTCCTGTGTGTCGAATCAATGACTTCAGTGGTGGCAATGTTCCTGCAAGGTATTATATATCAAAGTCATGAGTTCTTAGTGTTCACATAATGTGTTACCAAAGGCTATAGGCGCTAAGAAAACATCTTTCAAAATACTACATTGTATGTTTCAAAAGTAATTTTTTTTACCCTGTGTACTGTTTTGTTTATCTCCCATTCCTATAGAGACCATTAGTGGAACAGTTTGAGATAAACTTGTCATAACTGTTGACGACGAAGGAACTGGAACGACTAAAAAAAAATATATCAAGATATGGGTGTCCATACTTCAATCCCTTTTACTTTGAATTATTTTATTATTTATATATTTTATATATTCAAATTAAAGAGTATTTTAATCAGGTGTTTGTTTAAAAGTAGGAAAGTTTAGTTATTAGTACTCAACTGTTAAATATTGAACAAATCAGAGAAATTTTGAACCTGTGGTATGTGTGGAGGCTGGTTCATTTTGTCCGTACAGTCCAACTACACTCTGCCCGAACGCCCCCATGGCTGCACTGGTTAACTGGTCAATATTGATAGCCGACAATGTGTCCGTCATCGAGTCGTTGGATTCCGCTGTAGTCATATCCTCGTGTTTTTCGAGTTATTTAACTTGGAAAATTCAGTTTTCTTACAACACGCCAAATCATTGTACTTAAAAATGATTATCAAGAACACAGTTCAATTACATTTTACACAAATGGCAACATAACAACTTCAAAATCCTCTGCTTTATGAATATCTGTTAGAAATATATGTAGAAAAAAAATTGTTTAGCTTTTCCTAGAGGAAGTATTTAGCGAACGGTAAAAGTTGAGTGAAAATAATGGGAAAGCGCATTTCCGGAATGTTTTACGCGCACGCCAAAAAAATAAAATAAAATAAAATAAAATAAAATAAAATAAAATAAAATAAAATAAAATAAAATAAAATTAAATTAAATTAAATTAAATTAAATTAAATTAAATTAAATTAAATAATTAAATTAAATTAAATTAAATTATAATAAATAAATAAATAAATTCTACTCAAAATTATATGGTTACCCCCATCCCACCCCTGTCTTTTCCGATTGCATTAGAATAATGTACAATAGAATGACACAAAAGAAGAGAATTATTAAAAATATATATCTAAAAAAAACAGATTTTCATCGAAATGAAATTAATCTAATATAATCACATCTGAAGTCTTTCCCAACCCGTAGGAAGCAATTTCACTTTGACGGGGCACAACCATACATTTTCAGTTGGGGGGGGGGGGGACTATGAACTACCAAAATTCCTTGACAAGCAAAAAAAAAAAAAAAAAAAAAAAAGGCCATCAGACATTAATATTGAGGGGGCACAAGCATATAGCAGCTATGTTTTCTATAGTGTTCTATATATCGGCAAAATTATTGGGGGCGGGGGGGGGGGGGGCACGCACCCCGTGCCCCCCGGTTCCTACGACCATGCTTTGAAAAGGGGGTGGGTTAAAATTTAGCTGACATAATTTACTAAATTACGTGGGTGCAGGAATTTTTCCCGAAGGGGGGGGGGGGGGGAGTCGAGGTCCTTACTAACTCAGAAAATATCAGACTTGGAAACAGCTTGAGAAGCAAAAAAAAAAGGGGGGGGGGGACATCCTGTCCAAACCTGAAAAGCTATTTCGTGTTTAGGGATATGGGGAGTGGATTGGTGAGGATACGACAAATCCCTTTCCTAAACCAATTTCCTTCTAACATATGACTCTCCTTATCCATTTCCGAGGGGTCCGTGTTTACGAAGGGGTCCAAACTCATTTGGGGGGGGGGGGGTTGCTTTACCACAGAAATTCAATAACATTGAAAATCTTGGGAATTGGGAATTAAGGGGTCAGGATCCCTCTCCCGAACCAAACGCCCTTTTTAGATCCGAGCATGCCAGTAATTCTTTCAGCTTTAGATATATATGTAATTGAAAAAAAATCCTACAGAAAAAATAACATCATATTTGACTGTAATCAATTGTTGTTACCTTTCTAAGGTGATTTCCGAAGATTGAAAGAACAACAAACTGTTTTCATAATCATAAGATCGAAGATGACTATACTAGCATTCTGGAAACTATAGCGGAGGGAGAAGCCTTGTTATACATGGAAAGGAGGGTGGTGGGGGTAGGGTGACTATATACATGTAGCGAGTCTTCCCCCAAAAGAATTATTAATATATAAAATTGCAGACTTTCCCTGGAGAGGCTCACTTCCTGTTGGAAGATTCACCATATATCCAGTCTTTCAGGGGAAGTCTCACTATGGAGAACTTTTACTACAAAACACCAGTTTTGCCCAGGACTTTTGAAACTGAAATGAAAAAAGACCTTGCATAAATCTAAGCTAGGAAAAAGTGCTTCCAAATCTCTTGGTGTTTGTATGTGTTTCTGCAAAGGGAGAGGGGGTAACATTGTACCACTGAAACTCTGTGAACGCAATTCTTATTTTTTGCTTCCCGCTTTCACGAAAGTGCGAGGACATTTAATCGCATTCGAATGCCTGTTTGTCCCTCTGTCAGTCCGCCTATCTGTCTGTTTTTCACAAAATTCATAACTTTTGAATGAGAGGATAGGGCTTTTGTATTTCACATGTGACAAAACCTAATTGAGTGTACTATAATTTTTGACCCCATGACCTTGACCTTGAATTTTGACTATTTTTTTTAATTTGACATTTTTTTAAAATAACTTTTGGATAAGAGAAGATAGATTTTCATATTTCACATTTGCATTACCTGTAGCTAGACCTTTCCGAATGTACCATAATTTTTTGTTTCCGTGGCCTTGAAGTTTGACTTATTCTTTTTTTTTTTTTTTTTTTTTTTTTTTTTTTTGAATAAAACATTGTTACTAACTTGTGAATGAGAGAAGATAAAGCTTACATATTTCACATTTGCATTACCTGTGACTAGACCTTTCCGAATGTTCCATAGTTGTTGACCCCGTGACCTTGAAGTTTGACCTACTTTTAAAATAACATTGGTAGTAACAGAGAAGGTTTGACTTTCATTTTTCATATTACACCTCCGGTGACAACATCCTTCAAGGAGTACTATCATTTTAGACCTAATGACATTGATCTTAAAGTTTGCCCTAGTTTTCAAAAATTGTAACCCTGGCCGTTTTATTTTGCACCTGAAGAGACAGATCTTTCAAATTTTTACAATTTTACTTGTTCATTACCTGTGACAAGACCTTTTCCAATATATGATGATTTTGACCTTATGACCTTAACCTTGAAGTTTGTCATACTTTTCAAAAAAAAAAATTAACGTTGGTCGTAACTTTTGCACCTAAAGAGACAGGTCTTTAGTTTTTTCACATGTGCATTACTTGTGACATTTCGGAATCTACTATGATTTTTGATCTCATGCTTGATCTCAAAAATGTCACCCATTGGAGCTTTACCCCATTTCTAATATTTGATGTTTTCCATTTTTTCCTTACAAAAGAGTAACATTGTCGTGATTATTTCAAGTTCAGATGAAAACATGATAGACTCTATGGTTTCTCTGGCCAATCAAATGAACGCTTCAACCGGCTGGCAATAAATGGAAATATTATGAGAGACAAGTACGTTTTTTGAATTAATTTATCATTTTTCAATTTTCATATACACAAAGGAATATACAGTTCACAATAAAAACAATCAATAACAAGATCAGAATCTCTTTTGTTTCCTCCGAAACTCCTCAATTGGCGTCCTCCTGTGTTCCTCGTCTTCTTTCCTCTTCTTCCTCGATTTGGTCGCGGCACGGATGGGAGATGAGATTTTAGTGGAACATAGTGATCTATGACGTATGGTACAATGAAACTTCTGGGCGAAGATTCTCCAGTTCTCTATTTCCCCTGTCTCATCCGTTGATGGATCTCTGATATCCGTGAATCTTTTCGATGAATTTTGCTGCAGCACGGTGATGAGCGAGATAGAACTTCGTTGATTTCAAGATGGCCGACGCGTTGCCCTTCCTGATGGTCCTTGTTGTGAAGTCTCGGCAGGCAATCTTTAAGTCAGTGAGATCAAACTCTGATGCTCCACAATAAAGTCCTGTTACATTGGAAGTATTAATGTTGACTTTCCCACAATGGACAAAAGTAATGAGTTCTCTGAAGTCATCAGGCTGGTAGTTTCTGATTTCGATCACAATATGGTTGGAAGGAGTTGAGTTCTCTTTGCTCTTCTTTTTAGACTTCTTAGACGAAGGTAATTGTCGCTGAGCATCAAGGATGAGGTTGTAGAAAACTCGGCTTCGTGTGGCTAAAATCGCTTTCATGCCGTAAATTGGAACACGCTTTTCTCCGACGAGGAACATGACGTCACAGAGGTCCGGAAGTGAGATGATGCACTGGAGGGTGTTGCAGAGTTCCTGAGTACTCCTGTATTTCATCACTTCCGGTTCAGCAGCTGGTAGTTCGTCATTGTTGAATTCGGAGATTGATGTATCGGACTCTCTGTCAGTGTCGGCACTAGATTGTTCTGTAGCCGATTCATAACCAGAAGAACAGCCTACAATAAAAAGTTAATGTTACAAAAGATGTACGGGGTAATATATCTATCTTAAAACACTGCGCCTCTATTGAATAAGAAAAGGGGAAACTTTTAAAACTTACAATTAATTATAAAACTTGAGCTTGTATTATGTTAAAATTTAAAAACCTTTTTATTGCTATATATATTTAATTTGTCATAAAAAATTAAATTAAGAATAAAAAATATGAACAATTGAAATGGATTTGCTGTTTAGAAAATTTTATAGTCTGTTATATGAGAATTCATATATACCTTCGTTGTCGTATCCGAAATCAGACTTATTCAAGTCTTCATTCTCCACCAAAGGCATCTTGGACTCTGAAAGATTCATTCTGACTGGATAAAATGTTTGTATCAAATATATCGAATTGTGTGAAGTAAACTTTAGAAGTGCTACTTATTTCCGGACAGTTTCTGTTTTATATTCAGTGTTGTCCAATACTTCACTAATTGTCAGTGTCCGACACCGTGACATTGAGTTAGAGACGAAGGTCAGTTTACCGTTACCCGTGGAACAGTGTCACACCTGTGTCAACAGTCTGACTGCTAACCCGCCACGAAAATTAATTGATAATTGGTTAATTACCAGTATTACTTAATAATTATTTACTTATTATTGTTTCGACGTTCCTCCTCATTAAAGTTTAGATAGTCCAATATTTCAATTTAAGACAAAATTAGAACATTTCAATAAAAATTGATATTACAAATATCGTTTCCTAACGTTGGTCATACTGGTCGAATGTTTTTACACACTTTTTTTTAAACTAAATTCTAATGTTATTTTAATTTCAATTTGATGTGTGACAGTTATTAATATTTGATTATTTTGTTCAGCACTGTACGTGGAAAGTACATTTTAAAAGAATTTCTTCTGATAAATTAATTAAACCAGTCTTTCATGGAATGATGTGATCATTACATGTAATCTGATTTTATGACAATACCAAAATGTGTGTACTATAAATTTATATTGCTTTTTAACGAAACATTTTTCTTAGCACTGTTAAATTATCATGTGTAGGTACAAGACCAAAAATCCCAATTAGTATGTATCTATTTATTTCAAATTTACTGGAGACGCATAGCTTGTTTTGAACATATTTTATTGTATAATTAGTACAAAAGGAATTGGTGACAAGTTCTTACAACTTAGAAAAACCTTTCCCCATAATATATACAACAATTATAATTATAGTGATTGTCGAACATACAAAATATTTCAAAGACATTTATAAAAGTATAGATGTAGCTTTTGGATGACAAGATAAAAATATCAACCTTTGGTATTCGAATTCTTTCTCTACATCCCCCTTCAACCCCCTTCCCCGTTATAATTCACAGAGAAATAAAAGAAATGAAAGTAAAAATAAATAAACAAGTAAGAAAGAAATCAAAAATGAAATAAATTAATAAATAATAAAAATAAATGAAATAGATTAATAAATAATAAAATAAAATAAATTTTAAAAAAAAATGAATCTGTGCCGCCGTAAATCGGAGTCTTTTTTTCTTTTTCTTTAGTGGATAGATCTGTAGTTCTCTGGTGTGTCTGTCCTAATTTTATTTCTCAGAGAGCTGTAGCATGTATAGCTAAACGAAAGGATATCAGTGCTTCCAAAGTTATACATGTACGCGAAGCTCTTGTTTACGAATCTCTTTGGTAGCGTCTAATGTGGGCACAAAATACATGTATATTATCCCTTTTAATGTTCGTCTTTGAGGGTCTGTCTCTGATTTCTCGAAAATAACATAAAGTATGGTGTGTCTGATTATGGAATACTTGTACATTACTGTACAATATGTACATATCAAACATATGTAGACACTTACGGCATACTGTATATCGTCAATTCATATATGTATATTTCATTCATGTCGAAGATGTAAATCAGATTGATTTAGTTTAAACCATATTTTATTTGAAAAGAACAAGCAAAAGGTACAGATATATAGTTGAGATACATGTAGATCGAAAAGCTCAAGGATTCAAAAACAAATTAGAAACTTGTACTGACCCTTTTCCTTATTATTTGTAAATATTAATATACTTTCATGTAAATAAGTTGATCTGATTCGTTGAGAAAAAAAAAAAAAAAAAAAAAAAAAAAAAAAAAAAACTATGGTAATGATCTGTTCTGTTTTCGAATTGTTTAATGTGACACTTTCTTTTATCCAGAGGAATGATTACATTATGTTTATCTTGCTTTTGTGGTGGGACTAGATTCGAAAGATAATGAGGAGTTTGACCGCAAACCGTTATGGAAGCATTTTAACTTCAAACAGTTTAATCACGCAGTTGATTCCACACACAATATCATTTAAGTAAATGAGAAATAGCAAGGGACCAAGAATTGATCCCTGAAGAACACCGGACTTTATAAAACTAAATTAGTATATACACTGAAGACAGTAGTAGAACTAAATGTTGTGAAATTCTACGAATTCATGTCAAATTCAAAAGTAAAATCTTTGATAAAACTTTTGTTACAAATATATTGTATCTTTGAGTCTGTCTATTCCCCATAATTGTTCTCCTGGTGACCTTCAATGCATGGATTACATATATACACATCATTATGTGTCCATCTTTAATCCATGCAGTTAATTTGATTCAAGTCCTTTGCATAAAAGCAGGTATAACATTGTAACTTATTTTCCACTTTTTCTTTACAAAATATTTTCAGTAATTAAGTACAAAACTAAAACGGGTTTCCGGTATAAATGGATTGAAAGGCTGAAATGAAAGTGCATGAACAAAATCCAAGCTTCATATTTTTTTTTAAAACTAATAAACATTATAAGCATAACTTTAGGAGTTGCGATTCCATTTGCGGGATTAAATCACTCGTTTAATCTAGAGTTTACCAGAATGTTGGGGCCTTTTGAATGCACATGTACATGTGCTGTTACTCTTAATTAATATAATTATCTGAAACCTTTGGCAAAATAAATCACCTGTCCCTGATTGACTTGAAAATAAATATTCTGAATTTAAAAAAAAAAATTGCCCTCCCCCCTCCCTCGAATCAGATGGTCTTTCCTTAGTTGATTTGGCATTTGCATATCAAGCAAGCAAGGGCCAATCTGAATTGCAGTATGATATCTTAAAAAAGATTATGCAAACAATGTTTTACAGACTGGAGGGGCACTTAAAACTCATACATGTACATGCACTTGACCCAGACGTTGCATGTTCACAAATTTTGACTAATGCCTCGACTCAAAGTCCGTGATACTTTGGACGAACCAATCTGAAAGACGTATGTGTAACATTTCTGAAATTAATAAATTGTGTAGTGAAGTATATTGATCGAAGTTTCACTGTGGTTGAGTTACAAGACAATAGATGACGAGTAATTGACCTGTAACATTTTTCTTTTCGTTGTATCTTGTTCCGGTAAAAAATCATTATAGAATTTCATGACTACACGTATAAAACAAAAGATATAAACCTGACATATTACCTGACATATTACCTCAGCACTATGCAAACTGACAAAGATCTATATGGAAGATATTTACATAAATTATATGAATACAGGTGATATATATTTCTTCAGGATAGGCTGATAGCCCTTAAAGCTTAAACAAACTCATTTCTATTGAGGTCCTTATAATTATTATATTAACAAACAACCTGAGAGTATTACGTAAGGAATATACTTCTCCTATACCGGCAAGTGTAATCTGGTTTCCCTTAGAATTTAAAAAGCAATCTTTAAGTCATCAAATATTACATGTGTCGAAGCAGAACGGATTGCAATCTGTCCAGGTAGACTCGCATATCAAAAATCAGCTCAATATTTGCAAGGGTATAGAAAAAGTGCTGAAAACCAAGTCGGACAGACTGACAGATGTGTTTTCTCCGGTTTCATCGGTAGGAGACTAATGAATATATATAAAAAATTACACACTGGAATTTAGACAAGGTACTTTGAATATTGCATAAGGCGTTGAAAAAAATCCAACATGTTTCAAAGGTTGATCTTGTGCATTTATAACTTAATACAATCACCATAATACTTACGGAATATATAATTAGACAAACCATCGTGTTGTATCTCTCGCAATTGTAGCTTATAGTAGGATCTAACAGCTTTCTTAAATTTGTGCAATATTCGTCTCCTTGCTCTCTAATGGCAATTCATTCTAGTCTCTAGTCTTGACGACACTTTACCTTAAGGTTCATCGATACTCTGATAAGAGAGATAACTCTAAATGACATAAATGTCTATTATTCCTTTATAATCTTGTCAAGTTGAAGTGTCTTTTTTGTCCAATTTTGCACCGCAAGCTACGCTATAACTGTTTATATCTTACTTAAAAAATACATTTTTTTAGGAAAATCATAAGAGTTAAAGAAACATTTTATATGAGTGAGCAGAGGGTTTATGAACCTTAAATTTATCACAGGTATATAAATATTCTTATTAGCTGAACTTCTAGTAATATCATTATTTAGTACAAAATAGTCATAGTCGTAAGCTGGTGTATTTTAATGATATACATGTATATATATCAAAAAAAAAAAAAAACAACAACAACAACAAAAAAAAACAAACAAACAAACAAACAAAACAAAACAAAAAAAAAAACAAAAAAAAAAACAAAAAAAAAAAAAACAAAAAACCAAAAAAATTTTAAAAAAAAAACCAAAAAAAAAAAAAGGTATAATCTTTTTTGTGTAACTCTATCATAAACTCTTAACATTTCAGAAAGTCTAAAATGTCTAAAATGTTACAAGAAATACTCTCTCTATGACTAAGTAAAGGTTTAAAAAAAAAAAACCTTCCTTATTTATTTTAAATCACTTGGAATTTATGTTTAAATTGTTGTTTACTGTAGTACTCCACAATACCAAGAAGAACAGGCATAGTCAAAATAACAACGTATCAAAGCAGAACACATTGTCTTTCTAGACTGTGCATTAAGACAAGGTGCATTTCTGTGTTAGAATTTAAGAATCTGGTATCTATGAAAGTAGATAAGCTCTTGCAATTAATTACACGATCAAGTCTTTAAATCTAATAGTATTTATTAATTGTCATAAAAAATTTATCAAGACATAAAATACTTTATTCACAGCAGAAAACAAATAAAGTTATATGAATAGTTAATGCTTGTGTGTGAACACATTCATCAAACACATTCAAACAAAGTTCGCAGGTCATTTAATTCAACATTTCTTCCTTTTCAACTCCTCAATCCCGTGCTCTTCCTGGTTTCTTCGTCTTCTTCGACTGGAGGAAAGCAAGTAGGGCTTTGCTTGATCAAGCAGATCTTTCAAGATTCTTTATAAGCAACCTTTGGGTAAGGTTGCCTTTCTCCATTTTGTTACTTTCAGTCGTTGTTGGCTTTCAGATATCCGTGAATCTTTTCGACGAACTTTGCCGCAGCACGGTGATGAGCGAGACAGAACTTCGTTGATTTCAAGATGGCCGACGTGTTGCCCTTCCTGATGGTCCTTGTTGTGAAGTCTCGGCAGGCAATCTTTAAGTCAGAGAGATCAAACTCTGATGCTCCACAATAAAGTCCTGTTACATTGGAAGTATTGATGTTGACTTTCCCACAATGGACGAAAGTAATTAGGTCTCTGAAGTCATCAGGCTGGTAGTTTCTGATTTCGATCACAATATGGTTGGAAGGAGTTGAGTTCTCTTTGCTTTTCTTTTTAGACTTCTTAGACAAAGGTGATTGTCGTTGAGCATCAAGGATGAGGTTGAAGAAAACTCGGCTTCTTGTGGCTAAAATCGCTTTCATTCCATAAACTGGAACACGCTTTTCTCCGACGAGGAACATAACGTCACAGAGGTCTGGAAGTGAGATGATGTACTGGAGGGTGTTGCAGAGTTCCTGAGTACTCCTGTATTTCATCACTTCCGGTTCAACTGCTGACTCTCCGTCTTTGGTGATCTCAGAGATTGACCTATCGGACTCTCTGTCGGAATTGAAATGTTCTGAAGCCGAATCATAACCTGAAGAATATCCTGTAAAATGAAACAAATTCGTTAATAAAATTCAAAAATAAATATTTATGTTTATAAGAAAAACTCCTTTATGACATACATATCTTTTAACTTGTCTTATTCAAAGAACAAGCGTGCATGATTATTCATTTTCCCCCCTCAAAATTAAATACATGCAAACGTACATGTACATGTGTCATTGCCTTTTAAATAAAAAAAGGACGAGTTATACAATAAATTATACCTTCGTTCTCGCATCCGGAGTCTGGCACATTCAAGACTTCACTGTCTATAAGCAGAACTTGAGAGTCATTGACATTCATCCTGGTTAAGTATTTTTTTTGTCTTTTTTGCAAATTAACTAAGCTTAAAGGTAAAACTTTGGAAGTACTGCTTATTCCCGGACAGTTCTGTTTTATACCCAAAGTTGTCCAATACTTCACTAATTGTCAGTGTCCGACACCGTGACATTGAGTTAGAGACGACGGACAGTTTACCGTTACCCGTGGAACAGTGTCACACCTGTGTCAAGACTCTGACCGCTAACCCGCGAAGAAAATTAATTAGTAAATAAGCAATTATTATGGACTAATTATGCTTACCTGTATGTCCTGTTCCGTTAATTTTGATATCTTTTCAAATGTCGAAGAGAAATCAATTAATACAGTTATCTAATTAAAAAAAATAGATTTTTATTTGTTAATAAGCCAATAACATATTATACATGTATACATGTACATATAAATACATTCCACATATTCAAAACAACTTGCCAGTTTACAATTGAAACAATGTAAATTGAATTTAAATTCTTCATTAACTTAAAACTTTGACTTTAAAAACGTCAAATTTTAAATTAAGTTTTAACATATTGTAAATAAATAAATATTTAAAAAATAATAATAAATAAATTAATTATAATAAAATAATATAAATAAATAAAATCTTATATTTATATTTTCTTAATCTTAATATTTTATCTTTACATTTTTATTTTTTTTAACCTTATGAAATACTGAAGACATAGAACAGTGAAAATTCAGTAATTATAGGTTTTATTTACTGTCAAGTATATTCAACAAGTTAGAAACATAAAACAGAGAAACAAACTTAAGGTGTTTGAATATAAACAACCAAAACTGTACAAATTAATAGGAACTTGCAACATAATTCCCGATTCTTATCATTTATCCATAAATTGCAATCGAAAAAAAAAAACCCCTTTACAGAGCCTCATGAACAGATGAACACTTCTCAATATCCCCAATATTTGAAATTGTAAGAAAAGCTATGATTCAGAGAGCATCCCCAGAGGAAATCGTTTACAAAATAGAATTGCAAAATATCACATTGAAAAGTTTCTTATAAGATTCAAGAAATACACTGTTTTTAATCATTAATATAAATGTTCAACGCAGTACTATCTAGGTTGTACAGGTTTTATGTAAATGCGGATATGTGTACCGTTAATGGAATAGTGGAAATAGGTTGTATCTGGGTCATATAAGGTATGCGTGACTCATGACATTGCAGTGTAATTACCTGTCCAAGGTAAAATGACCTGCGACGTAAAAGCTTAGGTTCTTCATCCTAAACAAGATCTTAAACAAAGGCCACTTACTAGTGAATGTTTTTTTGCATCCTTATCAGATTCATTAATAATTAAAATATTTCGCGTAGTAATGAACCACGTGTGTCGTATAGTATCGATTTCCATAGCCAACAAAGAAATGTAAACATGACGCCAGAAAGACGGACAGCAGTGAGGCATGCTTTTACACCTGGAAAACCCGATAATTACAGGTGAAAAAATGCATGTTTATTATTATTTTATGAATAGCAGTTATTTTAAACAATTGTATGAATCCTGACATTTTTACCGACGTTAATTACACTTGAACATTTCCATAAAATCCCTTTGGGGCCTCTTTTTGTTGACACACCTGATAAACATATACCTGAGGCATGCGCACAAATTGAAAGCGTCTTCTTTTATTTGAATAGGTGAGCTAATTCCGACCGCCATTTTGAATTTTGAGGAAGTGAAGCAGGTGAGAAAGCGTTGCTTATTTCACTCCGTTAGTACATAATGTGAAAACTTGAGGAACTTAACAAATTAACGATGGGATTTCTCAGGTGTGCCTTCACCTGCGTGATTCTGGCCCTGTTCTTCGTCTGGACTGGATCAGGGAGAAGTGTTTTTGAATGGATGAGGCCAGACAATTTTGATGAGATTATGGACAAGTTGTCTTCTGTAACCGAGGAGAACTGTCGCTCAAAACCCAAACATGAGCTCGAGCTTCCTGGCGCGTCAGTGTCGCAAAAACCGCGCTACAACATGCTTCTTACATCAGTGATATACTCCAACAGATCTCAACTTCTACATCTGCACAACATGGCCTTGAATAGGGCTCATTATTATAGTTTCATCTACCAGAGACTAAACAGATCAGTAGATTTCAACTATCAGCCTGGACTGATGTATTTATATATGTCGGCAACAGCCGATGTGACTGCTAGTGAAGGGTTCCTAAACGGTTCCGCAATCTTTTTTGATAATCATTGTTATTATCCAAACTGGTACAACAAAATTTTAGATTTCAACAAGACCACGCCATTGTTTGGTCCAAGAGCGTGGAGGGAGGATGATTACGCAGAAACAACGAACTACCTCCGAGAACCCACGAACAGGACGGTGGATATTCATGATTACGGGGCTGGTTGGAACAAAAACTACTCCAATCAGGCTTACAAAACAGCCCCGTGGTACTCACCTTGGATGCCAGATATCACGGGAGAGCAGGATTCATTGACTAAGTTTACTTATGTAGTGGGTATAAAATTTTCAAACAAAACTGGGACGTTTATAGATAATGAGTTTGTGGCGATTCCTTATTTTGGTCCGCCACAGCCAGGAATTAACGACCGAGAGGAGAATTCTCCGTCACTTCCGGTGCAGTGGAGCAAACCTTACTTCGATTGTGGAAGGTCCAATAAATGGATAGTAACAGCCAGCGCACCTGTTGTGGAGTACATGCCGCGATACTCTCCCTTCATTCATTTACGAAGACCAAGGTATAATAGTTTTTCGTCATCTATCATTCTTATTCGCTCATAATGTACATACTAAAGAGATGTTTGATTTGATCAGTAACCCCCTCCCCCCCCCCCTCCCCATTAATCTTTAATCAGCAAGTATTTTCAGAAATTGCAAACTACGCTACGATTCTCCTTTCTCATGCAATTCACTCTCTTAATATGTTGGGATTTTTTGTTTGCAAAGAAAACGCCATAATCTCAAAAACAATCCACTACACAGATAATGGAGTTTATTCAACAAAACCCAGATTTACCAAGGGAATTAAGACTCCGCAGTTATTGTGTGCATAGGACATGGGTATTAATGCATCTGAAAACATCGGATTGTATACAGTGTGTCAGTTTAAACATATCTTTTTTGTATTTTTTTTGGACAGAACTGTAGCGGTCTCTGCCATGGATATAGAGTTTGAGAGAATAGACATTAACCCCTGTCCCATCAGTGATGGTAATCCAGAACCAAATTACTTTGCTGGCACAGCGAGATGCAAACCAACCACAATGGTGAGTTCCTTTTGGACATGTCTCTACTATATGTATGAATGTTAGCAATTAAAGATAACACAATTTGTTTCTTCTAAAATTTGAGTATCTTTGCTTCAATAGGTGCCTCTTCTATAGGTGATATCTGTTTATTTGTACAATTTTATGTTTGACCAACATACATAATGACGAAAAGTGGGAAAATGTATCTTTATAGTTCAAAATAGGTAATTTAAGGTCTGAAAAGTTTTAGAAATATATGAAGTTACATTTTCAAGAGTCTATTTTTATACATTTTACACAATTAAAATGTACTTATTAGATTTCAATTGAAAGGAATAATGAAAAAAAAGCAATATAACTGTTCTGTGTGGGAGACAAGAAAATTTGTTTCTTATTCATTTTTCATCATTTTTTTTTCATTGTTTTATGTTTCATGTGAAGAAAAATGGAAAGAAATGCACCTCTATGTACTAGTATATCCTATATGAAAAAAAACTTTCAACTTTATCTTACATTTTAATATTATGAGGGATGCATTCAATTCCAGATATGTTGATTTCCATTATTTATAAATTGTAAATGAATTCTCTTGTGTGATCCATGTACAAAAATTAGCTTCTGTTGGAAAATATCAACCGATTCAATGATTATTTACTAGAATTTCAATGAAACAACGAATACTCATGGGATATGATGCTGCATTATATAACGACAAAAAATATTTTTTATTATCTTTGAAAGACAGAAGTTATTGATAACTTGTCATGTAATTACGTAGTAAATCTAATTATTACACCAAAAATGATCAAAAATAGTATAGATAATTCCTCCTGTCAATCGAACAAAGAAGGGAGATAAGCGCTTCATTAAAACTGGTATGGGAATACCATGCAATTGTATTTGTATAATGCTCTAGAAAAAAAAAAGTTAGAATCTAATCATGCGAGATATGGGAACCTTGTCACGCAAATGGACCATTCATACATGAAATAACGCAATATAAACCCTCAGAAAATAATCCTCGATATTGTAAATTAACGACCATTCAGCTGCATTACAGTTTTTGTTTATATTACATACTATACAATGATAAAGCTATTTTTCCTGATGATTACTGCTCGAGTTGTAATAAATGTATTTAAAAGAAGAAAAAGTATTTTTTTACCTGAGGTAAAAATAAAGAAAAGAAAAAGAAAGTAAACGAAACGCAGTTTAAACCACCTGGAACAAAACATTGGTTATTGTAATTATTCAGCCAGGTAAAACCTAGAAATCTGAAACACATTTAGTATAAATCCATCTAGATCTAAGTTTGATCCGTTAACAGAAGTTGTTAGCTTTTGATGCCTGATATTTCATTGCATTCACATAAAGTGAAAGCCGGGAATTCCTAACGCATTAGGAATTGTACCTTTTAAATCTCAGTGTAACAGGTAAACATAGTGCTAATCCAATCGATACATAGTCATCCCTGCTTCATTAAATACTAATATTAATTATTCAATTGCAATATCCAACACATCAATCACAGAGCCTGTAAATTAAGGCAAAGCTCTAAAGGTCCGTGAATAATACATGACGCCCTCTCAACCCCCTTGTCGATCTGAACGACATCAAACCAAGAGCCGCGGCCTCTGGGAACAACGACTGCAGCGCCACTCTAACTTAATGGGACATTTCGCCGCTGTATCAATCCTGGAAATTCCTACTGGACAAGTTTTCTCGATTGTGGTTGCTAACTGAAGAAATTTTGTCACGTTCATTTAATTCCAGATATGGAATTCTACAAATCGTCTGTTTTTCCCCGGAAATAATCCATGAAATATTTTATTCCTCTTAACTGGAAATTGACTAAGTCAAGTAAAGGTTTACTTTTCTTTCCACAGTGCGAAGTGATACCTGGTTATGGCTTCCGTCGGGGCGGTTACCAGTGCGTTTGTAAGCCCGGATATTACTACCCATGGTGGCATGACGGACCTTTCCTTGGGATTGAAATTGAGCAGGCTACCGGGACCGAATACGACGCTTGGTTTGATTGTCTGGCTGTGGAAGGTAAGTATTGACATTTATAATAAAAATGTGTGTCTTTTTAAAGTCAATCATTTTTTTTCAAAAAATAAGCAGTGACATGCTGTCTTTGACTGTAGAACAAATGGTGCCTCCCAATGAGATGCCAAGCTTTGTGGAAAGAAAGAAAAGATCTTCCTCTCTTCAGGACCGTTTCATTGACGTCATTTCTGCTGCTGACTCTAGCCCGCGTGTTTCAATGGGAAAACTATCTACTACAGAGAATGCAGGGAAAAGACAAAAACGTTCTGCCTCAAAGAAAGTCAACAAGTTGGTGGCAAAGAGATCTGCATTTAAAACAGTCAAACAAAGAATGCAGGAGCGAAGATTTATACCTCGGTACCCCGGAGAGAAGAGATTTATGAGGCATAAACGAGATCTATTTGATCAGGAAATGTACTCAAGAATGGAAAAGATTTTATACCGAAAGCAAACCACGAATAAAGAGAACTGCATGACAAAGCCAGATTATGAGTTGTACTTACCGGGTGATGCAGGATATGGCGCTGACAAACGATTCGAAGCCGAGGCTCGCACTGCATTGAGATTGGCACACTTTCTGTGTGATTTCCTTCAAAACATCGACGAATATGAAGACTTCGGAAGTGTAAGAGGAGACAAGAGATTAAATGAGACACACATATTTGGTGAAGTTCTCGCAAATGTCATGAGCAACTTCAAAATTCTAGGCAGTGGCGTTTTCTTTGATCGCTACAAGTTCCGAATGTCGCCGCCTATTAATAACACTGATCCCCGATTTGTACACGGTATCACCCGGGAGTACTTCGGACCATTTGCATACACATATATGTCTGCAGATACCGACGGATTGGAAAAGTTCCGTGCTTTAGACTATGCTGGTCTGAAATCTCCATATACCCAAAAGAGGTGGTTTAGAGACATGAAGGCAAGATGGCAAACGAACTTTGAGGGCCTGAAACAATACACCGCCAAGCCTATGGTTCGTTCTGACCCTAACGGAACTAGCTTAGTGAGATGGGAGCACTACCCATTAAAATATTTTGCTCCAAAATATGAACACGGAGAATGGCTGAGACCTACCTTTAAGTGTGATGGAATGGTAGATGAGTGGGTCGTGACATACATAGCACCATTCTTTGGAACGAATGCATTAAAGACTCGGCTAGAATTTCAGTAAGTCCGGACATATATTATTAGTCGAAAGCAGTTTTTACTTTTGTATAATATTTAAGTATACCGGTACTAGCGTAGTAACATTTATTCTATTTCTCTTTCAGTGGAGTGGTTACAGTTGATGTCAAGTTAGACTTCTTAGAAATCCATCAGTGTCCTGGAGATTATTCGGTGGCAAATGCATTCAAAAACACAGCGCGTTGCCACTTTAAATCGCAATATGTAAGTGAAGCAAACCTTCATGTACTGTTCAAACACAAATAACTGGCGATATTCACTATAGTTTCCACCTAGAAGTTATTAATGTATTCTTAGATATTTTTGTATTTATTGCAACTATAATCTTAGTATGCATGAAGTAGCTTCTCTTTATTTATAAACTTTCTCTACTGCTTTATTTTCTCTAAGCGGAAGTTTTTCCTGTTGGTCGTTCTTGGCACTGGCGGAATAATCACGTGACAAGTATAGTGGTTGTTCCCTTGTGTCAATAATGAACTCGAGGAAAGTCGCCATATTCTTAAACAGCCTTCAATGTATATTTCTCGGTACTATATCTACTGTTAACAAAATGTATTTTTAAACAGTATCTCTCCCTAAAATATTACTTTAATTTCTTTTATCATCAAGAATTTAGTTTGCATGCAAAGATTATTTTTTTCACCCTTCTCATTATTTGCGTCTTTCAAAAGCTTCAAGTTTCAGTCTTTTTTTGTTTTATTTCGCCGCATGCACGAAATGCATTTGTAATCTTACGATAGATGCAAGCTCTCTTTTGAAAGATAAATACGTCAATCTACGAGTGTTATGATGTCTAAAGAAGGAATTTAATAACAACTCGCAACTCAACTTTGAAGTATTTTTCTTTTGCAGTGTATACCTTTACCTCTACAAACCCCCACCCAGCGCTACCTCCGAGGAGGGTACAAGTGCGAGTGTCGTCAAGGTTACGAGTACCCCTTCAATGACCTCAGCTGGTTCTTCGATGGTCAGATGATGGAAGAGGAATATAACAAAATGTTACGAGGAGAGCCCAATAGGTATCGTCTGCTGATGACGCGCTTATGTTTGCTGATTACGTATTTATGTTTCATATTTAGAATAATCAAAACAATTGAAAATATATACTTACCATGGGACAAACAAAGTACTTGAGATGCCTTGGAACTACGTGCATCCTAATCCTACCAGACCAGTAGGATTTTTTTTATCATGCATTTGCATTATGTATAACATTTTAAATTTCTTATTACAGATACGACACGCTGAAATGCAGAATAGCTGGAGCGGCCTCCATTACATTGAGCTGGGTGCTTCTGTCAATATCTTCTTTTATCTATCTTCTCTGGACTCGTATCTAAATATTACAGTGCATTTCCTAATTTAAATTTTCTTTTTTCCCCTTTGAAATCTGTTCTAGTCTTCTACGCAAGTAAGTACAGAAAAGTAACCGGAAAATAACCATGGGTCACATTTTAGACCAAAAATACAAATATCTGAATTATGATATACATGCATGATGATTTTTTTTTTACATTCTTAAAGTAATAAATTATTTGGAATAACTAGTTTGCAGGATTTTTTAAATTGATTGACGTGTTTTTCAGTATAAATGCTCAAAAACAATGTTATCATTAAATATTTTAAGTTGTTTTTATCATTATTATATGATTATACTGTTACAATTTTACTTTGTAAACTGTAACCTCGTGCCATTAATGCCAAAATGATTGTTCGTTGTTAGTGCAGTTGAAATGTATAAATGCTTGTGATTTTAAATCGAATGTACGTATATGATTCAATGAAAATTAACGAATGTATGCAAGACCGCTTGAAAAGGCATCCATTTAATGTATTTTATGTATATATCTACCTGTAATGGGCATACAATATTGTATAAATAGATCATATACATATACATGTATTTTTTTTTAACATAAGTGCTTTTAAAATCTAACGCTTCTACGTATGCAAGAACTTTGTTTTCTCGTGCCATGTATATAATTATGATTTCACATACAGAAGGCATATTACCCAAGAAATCTTCAGAATGGTCAATAAACTTCTGTTTCTCTAACCTTATCATGTCACTTTGTTACCAAGAACTTTGGTGTATAACCTAGAAAATTCCACTACTGTTGAATACATGTCAAATTCATTAATTGTTTTGTTTTTATACATGTTTCCTTGATAAAATATTTTTGAATTCTAGAAAATATCTAGTCTAAAAGCCATATTTTTATGAACTACGTATACCGGGGGAATAGGTAAGGCGCCTTAATTGTGATTTTTTTATTGTATGTAAGTATGTACATAATATTTTCATAGATTATTTTTTTATACTACCATGAAATGATAATAAAAATGAACAAATACAAACAGGGTGTTTTGATTGTTTCTATAAATCATGGAGTTTTGAAAGTATATCGTTATGCAGGTTGAAGGTTACATAGCGTTTGCGAAATTAAATATTGAGAGACAAATGCAGTTCTATTTCAACGAAGTGGTGCATTATTTGAGACGAATAAGGTGTTGAACAAATAGAAACGAGTAAAATATATCTCTGTTTGTGATGAATTCTACCTACAGATAGTGCTTTTGACAGATTTGATTTATCGTGCTGTACCCAGTCACGGACTATGTTACGAATTATTTCACGGAAAAAATCCAGAAAATATAATGAGACATAATAAACAGCCACGAGAGAGGGATTCTAATATACAACAATTAAAATTAGGCTAGTGTATTGAATGCAAAGAAGAGGACCGTATCTATTGAAAAAAAAATGGAGTTTTTTGGATGGAAATTGTACCAAGTAGCATCTTAGGTGATCCGTAGTCCTCCTCTGAAACTCTGAATTCTGTACAGCATGATAACGACCTGCCAGTCCATGATTGGCGTCATGTGACAGAGTTGTATCAAATTCTTCCTTTTTTGGTAAGCAGTGAGCCAGGCATCAAAGAGAATAGATACATGTAATTAGTAGAGTGATATTAAATTAATAGCATGACTGGAACGACTATAGTGAACCATACAGTTACTTTTTCGTGTCCGAATTTGAATTATCTCGCTTGAATCGTACTTCTCAAATATTCTCTTGCAAGTCATGGTCTTTATTCAATTGTAATATGTACTACTCTAAAAAAAGGCTTATAAATATCCACAATATATACATGTCGGTAATCTAGCAACAAATGACACATGAGCCATTAGGCTGACCTGAGTCCAAGTTTCTCGTCATTTACCTTTGTAAAGTGAAATGTATTTGATTGATTCCAGGATGGGGGGTGGGGGGGGGGGGGAGGAATTAGAGATCTAAATAAACTATGCAAAGTAAACAGATATGGTCCTTCTCTTATGAAAATGATCATAAGGGTCACCAATTTTATCAGACAAACATAATTTAGTTTATGCCTTATTCAGGTGGGTATTGTGCATAATGACAAACAATAACTTACAATGGTGGTCAGCCTCCAACAACAGAGAATACTTGTTTTTTTTTCCTTTATTCAGGACAGGCATTCATCCACTGTAACCTGTACCACTACTGTCCAGTGACTTATACCATGTCCATGCATGTGAACAAAGTAAACCTCTAGATGGTTGAACTCTCTATGTCCTTGCATGTGAACAAAATAAACATCTGGGAGGTTGACATATCTATGTCCTTGCATGTGAACAATGTAAACCTCTGGGAGATTGACTTCTCTATGTCCTTGCATGTGAACAAATTAAATCAATGAGAGCTTGACATATCTATGTCCTTGCATGTGAACAAATTAAACCACTGGGAGATTGACATCTCTATGTCATTGCATGTGAACACAATAAACTGCTGTGAGGTCGACCTCTCTATGTCCTTGCATGTGAACAAAGTAAACCTCTGGGAGGCTGACCTCTCTATGTCCTTGCATGTGATCAAAGTAAACCTCTGGGAGGCTGACCTCTCTATGTCATTGCATGTGAACAATGTAAACCACTTGGAGGTTGACCTCTCTATGTCCTTGCATGTGAACAAAGTAGACCTCTGGGAAATTGACATCTCTCTGTCCTTGCATGTGAACAATGTATACCTCTGGGAGTTTGACATATCTATGTCCTTGCATGTAAACAATGTAAACCTCTGGGAGGCTGACCTCTCTATGTCATTGCATGTGAACAATGTAAACCACTGGGAGGTTGACCTCTCTATGTCCTTGCATGTGAACAAAGGCCTCTGGGAAGTTGACCTCTTTATGTCCTTGCATATGAACAAAGTAAACCACTGGGAGGTTGACATCTCTATGTCCTTGCATGTGAATAAAGTAAACCACAGGGAGGTTGACCTCTCTATGTCCTTGCATGTGAAAAAGTAAATCTCTGAGAGGTTGACCTCTCTATGTCCTTGCATGTGAACAGAGTAAACCTCTGGAAGGTCGACCTCTCTATGTCCTTGCATGTGAACAATGAAAGCCTCTGGGAGACTGACCTCTCTATGTCCTTGCATGTAAACAATGTAAACCACTTGGAGGTTGACCTCTCTATGTCTTTGTATGTGAACAAAGTAGACCTCTGGGAGGTTGACATCTCTTTGTCCTTGCTTGTGAACAAATTAAACCTCTGGGAGGTTGACATATCTATGTCCTTGCATGTGAACAATGAAAACCTCTGGGAGGCTGACCTCTCTATGTCATTGCGTGTGAACAATATGAACCACTCAGAGGTTGACCTTTCTATGTCCTTGCATGTGAACATAGTAGACCTCTGGGAGGTTGACATCTCTTTGTCCTTGCATGTGATCAAAGTAAACCACTGGGAGGTCGACCTCTGTATGTCCTTGCATATAAACAAAGTAAACCACTGGGAGGTCGACCTCTCTATGTCCTTGCATGTGAACAAAGTAGACCTCTGGGAGGTTGACATCTCTATGTCCTTGCATGTGAACAATAAAAACCTCTGGGAGGCTGACCTCTCTATGTCCTTGCATATGAAAAAGTAAACCACTGGGAGGTTGACATCTCTATGTCCTTGCATGTAAACAATGTAATCCACTTGGAGGTTGACATATCTATGTCCTTGCATGTGAACAATGTAAACCGCTGGGAGGCTGACCCCTCTATGTCATTGCATGTGAACAATGTAAACCACTGGGAGGTGACCTCTCTATGTTCTTGCATATGAACAAAGTAGACTGTGGGAGATTGATATCTCTATGTCCTTGCATACGAACAAAGTAAACCACTGGAGGTTGACCTCTCTATGTTCTTGCATATGAACAAAGTAAACCTCTGGGAGGTTGACCTCTCTTTGTTCTTGCATGTAAACAAATTAAAACAACTGGGAGGTCAACCTTTCTTTGTCCTTGCATGTGAACAAAGTAATCCTCTGGGAAGTTGACCTCTCTATGTCCTTGCATACGAACAAAGTAAACCACTGGAGGTTGACCTCTCTATGTCCTTGCATATGAACAAAGTAAACCTCTTGGAGGTTGACCTTTCCATGGTCGACCCCTGGATAGTTAGTCAAACCTGAACATCACAGGTACAAAGAAATATAACTGCAATAATGTAGCCTTCTCCGATTTTTTTTTTTTTTGGGGGGGGGGGGGGGGAGAGGGCTACAACTACTTTGGATCTCCGTAATGGTTCAAGTGCTGGAGTGATTCACTGCCGCACAGATTTCGGCTCAAATTATCAGTAAGTGGGTATTTTATTAACATATCTTACCTGAACTCATAAAATGTAGTTATGCAAGACATGAATTGATCCAAAAATATACAGAACAATCAATATATCGGTTATTTTTCATGTATGTCAACATCACAACTTGAATTTATCCGCCATGTTTACTGACCTTGATCGATTTTATTTTGGGACAACCAATGAGAATTCGGGATCTAGGGGAGCGGATCGTTCAGGATTTCCCTTATTTAAAGCATAAATATCACTATTTTATGAAAAAAATATCACATGGAATGGTTTTATTCATCGATGTTTAGTGATAACATACAGCACAAACATTTATCAATACCGACATTTACAATACAAATGAGAAATTATACAATACGAATGGAAAATTATAGAATACAAATAAAAATTAAACAATACAAATAAAAATTATACAATACAAATAGAAAAATTATACAATTCAAATATAAAAATATAAAATACAGATGGAGAATTATAGAATACAAATAAAAAAAATTTCAATACAAATGAAAAATTATAGAATACAAATGGAAAATTTTACAATACAAAAGGAAACTTATACAATGCAAATGGAAAAGATCGAATATTGCAACGGTTGACATGTCATAACTTTTGTTAAAAAATGGTTCTTGATCCTTGACGATGTCCTACTACTGAATAAGTTTTTGAATAAACTTGATATCTACATTTCATTGTACATCATTGTATAAAGATTTTTGTATGTAAACATCTAAGTCAATCTTTGAAGTTAAATTGCTCCGCCATTATACTCCCACCGACTCAAATAAATCTCGGGATGCTTTACGTATCCGACCCATTGTAAGCCTGCTATTTTATTTTGCAATAATCCTAACAATATGAATCTTCACTATTCAGAAATGTTTTGTACATTTCTTTTTGAGCCAGTGATTCTCCATGCAGAATCATGTCCTTTTAAAATGATCCCCACGAACGACTAATTATTTAGAGCTACAGCTAATGGCCCTTCATTTGGAAAAGGTATTTTTCCTTTAAAAAGGGTGCTTATTGCAAAGGTTGGTAGAAATTGGTCCTTTAATTCTGGAGGAAAAAAAAACAACACAAAACAGACACCTCGACGGACAGAGGAAGAAACTTATTTGTAACTTAAGTTCAAATGACTGATAAAGAACCAAGAGTTTTCAATACACTAGCGAAGAACTCTGCACGTACCACAACAAGTAAAGTCATCCATGTACTCTGATGTCCTCCGGAAGCCAGGAGAGTAAATCATCGCATGTCTTTCCCAGTATTGAACTATTGGTGGTTCCAAGAGGACAACAGAAAGGTTAAATAAATATTCTAGGACCTGGAAGTCAATGGACAACAAATTTGTATCTGGATGGATACACATTTTTCTTTTCATACATTTTTAAAGCTAAAAAATTCAATTGGCTTTTAAATATATTAATTTTTAGGTCCTAATGAAATTAAAATTATATTACTTTGTCTGTAGATTTAAAAAAGGCAGATAAATCGATACATTTATGCACTCGTACATGTACACTAGTTAAATGCAAAGAAAATTCTAGCTAAAATATGCAATTCTTTCCATTAAGTGAAAGTATGACAAAGTTTTCCTATTGTTGTATTTATTCCAAAGGCCTTAAGATATTTCCTACTTTTTTCTACTTCAAATATTTGAATCAATTAATCTTAGTTAGGTTTAACACA